AGTAGAGTAGACTACATTACACAAGAATGGACAAGGAATACTTTCAAACAACATTTTCTCGATACTTTATACCCTTTACCCCCCCCCCTTTTCCCTAGTTAACTGTAATAATGCAATAAACAACGAATTCATCTTTATCATCAATTATTATCATTTTTTTGGTTAAAGATTTTACATAAAATCTTTTTTCATTTAACTCTATTCCTGCTGGGGGAGGGGTCAATTTCCCCACCCCCCTGTAGTTTTACATAACTCAAAAAGTATTGGTCTGAGGCTGTTGAAATTTTCTTACTTTTCCTACATACCCAAAACCGGGCTTTAATACTAACTGCCTGAGTCCTCAGGCACACTGCCTGAATGACTGCTTTTTCCTGTAACAAACTAAATCTTTGTTTTGACCCTTTTCCACTTGTCAGATTTTGATAAAATTTAGCTTTTTGGAAAGCCTATGACATAAGGAAACGGATTTCACAAGTTTTGCGAAAAAAAATTGCAAGTTTTTTGCAAACAACCTGTCAAAGGAAATTTGCACATTTTTAGTTTTTCTTGATTAAAATTCAGGTTATTTAAAATTTTGCAAAAATTTTTGCATATTTGAAATGGCATGGTCAAGGGCTTTTCAAAAATGTATAATTTTTCATTTTTTGGACAAATTTTTTTTGCAAACATTTTTACTATATAATTGGATTTTGCATTAAAAAATTAAATTTTTGCAAATTTGCAAATTTTTTTTGCAGATTCTAAAAGTAGAGCACAAGAGCTTTCCAATGATGTATAATTTGTCATATTTGGACATCAAACATGGGATTTAGAGGGGGGGGGGTCAAATTGACCCCCCCCAGCATATCCTGGTTTTCAAGTACCCCAGCAGAGATAGAGTTAAACTGCAAAAATGTGTCAGAATTAAGAATGATTTAATTCCATTGATACAAGAATTGTACTTAGAAAGCTAGGTATGTTATAAGGAAAAATAACGCAGTATATGTTGAAAATTCGCTAAACTTAGGAATCAGAATTGTTTCGATATTTTCGAATAAAAATTCCAAATTTATCAATTATACTTTTTTTGCTCTCACGCGTATACGAAATATTTGAAAAGTCATTGATATGAACATATTTGAAAATTCTTGTAAAAATATATGTAATTTAAACCCCTTATGTATATGGTCTTTAAATTTAAATCATAGGTTTAGAAGATGTGTCTGTTATCTAACTTGAGACTGTATAAATATTGTGAAACACTATATCTGCAAACCTGAATTATGTTGTACATTATTAGTTATTCACGTTGTAAAAAGCTATGTAAAACTTATATCATGATTTATCTTAACTGCGCTGTAAATAACTACATAAGATGAAAACCCCAGTTTACAAAAACCGTGTCCTAGTTGAGGCAATGATAAGTTATAAGATCGTGTCCAAATTGAGGCATTAATAGTTTACGAGATCGTGTCCGAGTTGAGGCATTAATAGATTAAAAGATTGTGTCCGAGTTGACATTGATAGTAAAGTGCCATTAAGTTATACCTGGATTGAAACGAGTTTGAGAATTCCTTATGGAGTAGGGCATTTGCTATATATAGAGATTAAAGAAGGTATTGATGAAATATCATTTCTCCGACCAGAGGGTGGTTTAGTACTCCACACCAGGGGTTTATCTAAACATATTTATTTTACGTTCTTTCTTTCTTTCTTTCTTTTTTTCTTTCTTTCTTTCTTTATTATTTTCTTTCTTTCTTTCTTTCTTTCTTTCGTGTTTTCTTTCTTTCTTTCTTTCTTTCTTTCTTTCTTTCTTTCTTTCTTTCTTTCTTTCTTTCTTTCTTTCTTTCTTTCTTTCTTTTATTTTCTTTCTTTCTTTCTTTCTTTCTTTCTTTCTTTCTTTCTTTCTTTCCTAAATACCAAAATCAGAAATATCAGAAGATTATTAGGCATTAAAAAAATTGTGGTTATTACGAGTAATAATTGCCTTTAAATTTAAGTATCGATTCAAACAATAAAAAAGCCACTAAATCAAACTTTCGAGAACGGATTAAGAGCATTTTGTCCTGGTTTTGTAGCCCTGTATTTCTTACATTAATATTTTCATAAAAATAATGCATTTAGTCTTGAAATAAAAACATGTTTTCATCTTAAACCAGTCTTCCGGTAATAAACAGATTCAACATTTTAGAAATAGAACATTCATTCTCTGGAAGATTCACCCTTAGAGAAGAGTGTGGAGTGTAGAATATAGAGTGTAGAGTGTAGAGTGTAGAGTGTAGAGTGTAGAGTGTAGAGTGTAGAGTGTAGAGTGTAGAGTGTAGAGTGTAGAGTGTAGAGTGTAGAGAGAAGAGTGTAGAGTGTAGAGTGTAGAGTGTAGAGGGTAGAGTGTAGAGTGTAGAGTGTAGAGTGTAGAGTGTAGAGTGTAGAGTGTAGAGTGCAGAGTGTAGAGTGTAGAGTGTAAAGCTGGAATCAATTGCTAAAGTTTTCTATATAATTTACTTCCTTAACTTTTGTATTAAGCAGGATAGTCTAAACCACACATTTAAATGGAAATAAATTAATAATTTCATGATTTTCTGAAAGAACGACAAATGAAAATGATCTCTAACCTCTCAAGCGTTCATTTCCCTGAAATTGATAAATAGGGAAGGATAGTTTAAGTGCACTGCCAAGGTATAATTCAGTCCATACCTAATCTAACATCTTTCATTAAATGTCAGCTTTGGATTCTTAACATCGATAAGAACAGATTTTGAAAATATGCCAAAGAAAAGTTACACTGAGACCAAAATTAATGAATTTGAGGGATCGTTGAACTGCCTATACCGCGTGGTTCAAACGGCGCGCGATTAAAATCCCTTCTGAATCTTTAACTTTAAATCGGAGGTTTAAATTTGAACAAGCAGTAGGTAGTTAAGCGACGTGGCTCAAATTCATTAAATTCAGTCCCAAAACCTTCTAATGGTTATTCTATTTTTTAGCTAAGTTGGAGAATTATTAGCTGCGATGTGTTTTGTTGTAAATAGAAACTTAGATTAATTTTTAAATTAATGTTAATTTTATAATTTACGGGAAAACTAGAATTTAAAAACAATAGGAAGGAGGAACCATAAGCCTAGTTTTATAAAAGTATATTCTCTATTCCCCTAGATTGTAAACTATCTCCTAGAAAACCCAGACTAGCAACTAACATTTATAGCTTTGAAGAGGAGAAATCAACATTTAAATTAATCTATATTTAGTGCAGTACAATACACGCTTCTAAAAGATATTAATTATAGAATATATATCTTTATGTGACGGACACTTTTCAACGATATTTCATTTTCTTTTTAGACGTAATTTCAAATCCCCCTTCATTTATAGGGTAACTATATTTATTTCAATTGGTGAACCCTATGCGGATGAAGTAATTTGGTTCTTTTCTGGTTTCTCAAATACTCTTTTAATATATATTAGACTAAATAATAAGATATAGAAAGCCAGGTTATAGGGTGCTTCGGGTTCGTTTATTGGATACAAACGAACATACAGACAGACAGGATTGTATAAATATAACAGAAAAAGCATGGTGATTTTTAAAATCAGATTTGTACTTTATCCTTCTACTCCAATCCGACCTAAATGCTATATGAACTATAAGTTTTCTGACCTAACATGTATTGATCTTAAAATATGATAGGTTTGGTTAAGATAGGTTTGGTTAAGATAGGTTTGGTTAAGACAGGTTTGTGGAGTTGAACAAATACAATGAGAAATAAATTATTTAACCAAGTAAAAGCATATTTTTAGAGAACTATTCGATAATTTGTTCAAAAAAACTTCTCGAAATTTTGTTCGGATACCCTTTAGGTCGGTTTCCATAGCATCGGAAGAACATCTATTTGTTCTTTGTTATGGACAATGAATGTACTTAAAGAAGCGTGTGTGTGTGTGAGATGCTACATCATTAGTATGTAGTAAATGATAAGGTATATTATGAAAGCTTTCCAACCATACTTATATATTTCATGGTCTACATTGTACATATTTACCTATATTGCAGGTACAAGGTACAAGCCTGAACCAAAGGAAAGGAAACAATGTATATATAGGACGTAAAAAAATGGTAAATCTCGAAGAATTTTAAAGGAATTGAGTCTTTGCCACAAGCTCAAAATTTCCAAACCCTATATCATTGCATCCGGATGGCGTAAAACTTCGAAATTTCAAACTTTTATCATTTGATTTATCAGAGTTTATCGTTTGAAATGTCTATGGTCTACAACATTGGGTTGCGGATATGAGATTAGAACGTACGTAAGCGTTTGTTGCAAAGATTCAATTCCATTGTTTCTTCGAAAAAAAATGCATATTGAGCAACAATTAAAAGTTGAAATAGAAGATGGGCGGCGCCCTGATAGCTTAATTTTTTAATATTTTAAAGTTTCTATTTAAGAGCTTGAAATCTTACTTGATAATAATTAAACTTAATCCGATTTTTTGGTTCCTTCTAATTCTTTTTGTTAGTTTTGTGTAAAATTACAAAATTATCAAATTGAAATTCAATGAGAAATTTGGCAAAGATTTTAATACCTTGATACTTATTTTGCAGCTGCTAATATAAATGCCAAGTTTAATCTGGAATAAACTGCACTTTATTTTAAACTCTGGTGAGTGGATTATGCTTCAGATTATATAGATAAGAGAATCATTACATTTATTTTTAAAATTTTTTTGGCCTTTCTTTACAATCGGTTGTAAATCATATACAACTATCGGTTATTTACTTTTTTAAATGTTCTTAGCTTGGTTTTGAGATTCTAAGTTTAATGTGTCGACTTATAACAGCGAAAATTTAGTTTCCTGGTAAGAAGTGCGGGTTCAAGTGTACAATTTTTCAAATATCAAAATCAATTAAAACAAAGTGTACTGCGGTTTCTGGGGTAAAGGTAAACAAACTTCTAAGTCTAATTTAGTTACTGCAGTATACCTATGTCATGAAGAGTGATTTGGAAGCTCTGTCATAAAATAAAAAATAAACAATAAAATACACTGTATTTGTGGTTAAGCAGAAAGCAAAGTTTTTATTAATGATAAAGAGCAGAATTAATGTCGTCTTCTTTTCTCTTCAACTTCCATTTTCTTTTTTAATTTCATTCGCCCCTGCAAAAAAAAGAAAATAAAGTTCTAAGATATGTTCTAAATTGTCTTTTTGTCATTTTGTCTCCACTTGTGTACAATGCAAAGCATAGGTAATAGTTTTTTTCGATGTCAAAATTTACTACATATAAAGTCTCAGGAAAAAGTTATTTTTTTATGATTGCAGTTATTTTACCCCCGTATTCTTCCTGTAGATTATCCAATTATCGGAAGGTTTTGGTATATTCTTTTTGAAAAAGAAAAAATATTTTTTTAAGTTTTTAATTTCGGATTTAGATATCCGGAAAACAGTTTGGTAATCTTTAAGATTAAAAAAAAATACTATCTTCCTTAAAAGTTTTTTATTTGGTCTAGTGTCTGGTGTCTAGTTTCTCTTGTTGATTGTCTAATTTCTTGTATGGTGTCTCAAGGTGTCAATTCTCTGTTGTCTGAAGTGTCTAGTTTCTAGTTTTTGGTGTCTTTGTCTCATGACTAGTGTCCACAGTTTACTGTCTAGTGTCTTGTTTAAAATCGAATGATGAAAGATGATTATTGTAAAAGTACCTCAGCCAAAATCTTCCTATCTTCATCTGTGATGTAAGCAATACACTTTCTGCAATTATATTCTCTTTAATTTTGCTAATATTTTACCCAATCTTTGCAAACTGATGACAATGTCAAGTTTGAGCCTGAACAAAGCAAAACAGTTGTGCATTTTTTACTTTTGTCGGAGTCAATTTTGTTTGCAGAAATTAAAAACTTGATAGCTTATGATCTTTACGTTTTTTTAGTTTCCAAACACAATCCTTCTCTTTTTTAATCCTTTGTTTTTTTAGGATTGGTTTGAATACCTCCTTTAAATTATTGTACATGCTTCACATTCATAATTCACACAAAAATTGTCTAAGAATCATAAATCTGTTGACGGTTGAAAAAATGTGTTACTTGTTATAGCAGTGGAAATCATTTGGACAGTCATCAAACTCCTTACAGCCAGGAGGCTAAATAGTTCAAATACAGAATATTATCAGCAAGGTAAAATAAATGTCAGGTGGGGACATAGGGGTTCCGTAAATTTTACTGTGACGTTAATTAGGACCACTCCTTAGCTGGTTGGTAAACCAGCCCCGACCCTCCTATTTCTTATCTCCTACCTTACATCTGGAATACCTTGATTTTCAGTATAAAGCAAGGAAAAAGTGTTTAAATTATAAAATATTGGAAAGGAATAAATAAAAAAACAATTATAAATCGTAAACAAATACAGCTAGGGTTTAACACAAAGGATGAAACTTCAGAGTCGACTTTCCAAAATTATTTAAATCTAAATCTTTTTTGGATGTACAATGTACATCCATGCTTCTCTGCATTTAAAACAAGCGTCTTTCATTACAAAACCGTTTAGTAAATCATTAAAAGACTGTAATGAAGGTCGACGACCAAATCTAATATTCAGATTGTCGTAATCTAAATAGTTTTGGGTCGTCATTATATTAGTCTCATCCTTCTGCATGGGTTACCCTGCGGTACAAACTGTTGTACAGTGTACACACTTTAAAATTACCCGTATATGTGCAGGGTGTCCCAATTAACATGGGAATTCAGTGACGAATTCGATATCGTCTTTTTAAATAATTCTTTGATTTGTATAGTGATACCTACTGAGAAAGCTGTAATCTGTAAGAGTTTCGTCGTTCACATTTTGTTTGTTTATGTTTTCACTGCATACGGTTGTACTTAGTGAAACAAGAAAATTGCAGTATACAAATAGAGTAAACTTGTCCGTCTTCACTGTTCATCTTGCGGAGACATTATAGACACATCCTTACAACCTTTTACCCTTTTCATAAATAAACTCTAGCAGACATAATAATATATATATTCTATATTCTATTTATTCGTACACAATTATAATGGTACAATTTAAAATCAACGAGAAATGAGATATATAACATATAAAATATAGAATTAATATATAGTCGAAAACAATAAAATAAAATAAAAAGAAATAATAACTTAGTTAGTTTTTACATATATCATCAATAATTACATCTATTTCATCATATTTAAATCCTTCTAAAACATTTGGATTTGACCGGATTAATAGTAAATCTTTTAACAGTGGAATTCTCCACGCATTTTCAGCCGGATTCGCGTAAATCATGTTTGACTTTACTAGAGACTTGTTCAAGGACAGTTTATCTACATAGGTTTCATTTGCAATATTAGATAAATTCTTACATAATTTTGTTCTTTGGTCATTTTTGCATAAATCAAACAATAGTCGGATGCTGAGCTTGCGACTTTTACACATAGATTCGCAAAATGATACAAATCGGCTACACAACATATTATTGCTTTTGAAATTAGGTATTACAATGCTAATTCATAACAAAGACGATATCCAATTCGTCACTGAATTCCCATGTTTTTTGAGACACCCTGTACAATATATGGTACATACCCTTAGATAAACTCTTGTACAGAATCCCTCTCTACAGAACTCTCCCTCTTCACAGGTTTGACCTCTTACAAGAGTTTTTAGAAAATAGGACTAATAATTAACATGGAATTTTCTACATTTTGGAAATGGTTTAGATTATTTCATATTCTGCTGTAAAAACTTTGAATCAGTTTTTGGCAGTTACATATATTTAAATTAAAGATTCTAACACGGTCAAGCATGGTTTTAGAAGCATAGGTCGTCTTTCTAGGCAATATATTTTCAAATGATTTAAAAATATAAACATTTAAGTATAATTACATTTAATGTGGATGGTTTCATATAAATAAGACTTTTGATTATGAGTTAAAAATCTTTATTGAATATTATTACCTCCCTTCACCGTGACATTTATCACCAGTTTTTCTAGAAATTCAAGATTAAATTTTTTTATAAAAAACAAAGAATTTAATATTTTATAAAAATTATTCTGTATTTCGTTTTTTTTTTTTTTAATGTTTTTGATGTTTAATATTGTTAAAGTTACTCTTATAAAAGAGATAGAATATTATATTTTAAACCATGCTTTTACATTATTTTTGATTAGATTCTATCTTAATGTCTTTTCACAATTTGAAAAAATAGATTTACTCTTTGAATTAAAGGGAGAGACCGCCTAGACATGGAAGTTGAGCTAAGAGTGCAGCATTGTAAAGATTTTTTTAAAGATTCATTTGAGACCTATGAGACGTTTCCACGGTGTATTATTTTTCAGCAAGAGCGCAATTAAGAAATATGCTTCTAAACTACTGTTTAGTTTGTAATATAAACAGAAATCCCCATATCTGTTAACCTGAACATACATAGATATTCATGAGCTACATAACATGATGAAAACATATATTGTGATTATATTAACTATGTTTATATTTATCCATGTTAATCTTCTAAATACGTACATTAAAATTAAACAACGCTGTAAACATGCGTAGAGATAGCTTAACTATGTTTATATCTATCCATGTTAATCTTTTGAATACGTACATTCAAATTAAACTGCGCTGTAAACATGTGTGGAGATAGCTTAACTACGTTATATCTATTCTCCCTAATCTTATAAATAAAACTTGTAATTTTGTCAATTCACGTTAACTTGTAGCATATGATATCTAAAATAAATTAGTTGGTTGAGACTCTGCTTTGATTGCGATAGTAGAAGTATTTAGTCCACGTTGAAACATACGAGCTGAGATTGTGCCTAGAGATTTTGCATCAATCTATTAAGAGCTTGTTTGATAGCTACACTTGTGTCCATGTTGACATTCAGATCGGATAAGATTGTGCCCATTGGTTTGGCATTGATCGCTTAAGAGTTTGTGTTCCGGTTGACATTTATAGCTGACGAGTTGTACCTGGATTGATACAGTTCTGAACGAAGTTTTTAAGAGAATGGCATTTACTACAAGTTTACTGTAGTTTTGTTATATTTTTCATCGTCGTTGTTGAATCATTTTTAATCCAGGAGTATTTTAAAGATTGAATTTGAGCTGTTGTGAAAAATTGTTTCATAAAAAATATTATGAATCTAATTTGGAAATGTTTAACATAAATTTGACCAGGGGGCGGGCATAACTCTCCTAATTTTGCCTGGCTAGGTTTATACTGTACAGTGAAATTTGTCGAAAAATGTTTCCTTATGACTGAGTTAAGTGGCTGTACAACAAGAAGTCTAAAATTCCAGATGCCCCCTCTATTACTAATATCTCGATGAATTTGACACACAAGACACATATTATATTAAGAAACAATTAAGAAGCTCAGTTTATTTTTTGTAAATGAACAGGAATCAACATTAGATATATGTCTGATTTTGATCAATTAAAAGCAAATCATTTTATAAGATTTTCTCAGAAATCATTTAAATTGTTGACTTTTAATAATTCCTTAAAAGTACATACCCAAAAGCTGGAGCACATATGAAAATAAATAAAATAACAGAAATAACCATTTTGAGCACGTTTGTAATCATGATGTACACGGTAAACCGGCCAGTACAGCACACAGTACACACACAATTAAACTACACATGTATGTGTTAAATCTTGTAACAGTATCCTGATTTATATACTACAGTGACTACAGACTACACTCAGTAAATCCTTTTATCTACATTCTAAACACTGAAATTTGGTAACATCAAAAATTCATAATTTAAAGCTAAATGTGGCCTCTTTATTTTAAACAGTGTTTACAGCAATTCTTATATGTTGCATAAATAGTAAATTCTCTCCCAATCTTCATTTTTTCAACTGCTTATTTTCCTCTAAAAAAAAGATTATACAAATAAACAAATATTAAACATATTTCTAAAATGTATCAAGTTTCGAGTACAATACTGAAATTTAAAACAAAAATTCCTCCTGCAAAATATTATTTATAAAAGAACTTGACATAACCTAGGATAAAAACTAGAAAAGTAATAAAAAATATGAAAAGCTTCCAAAAAAGTACTAATAATTATCTGGAAATTAAAGGTATCTATAATAAAAAAATTTAAATATTTTCTAAACCTTAGCATAGGACTGAAGTATTTCATCTCCCAGGGTAGAACAACACTGTTTATCTTCTTTCCTTCTTCAGAAACATCCTCTCCCTCCCTGCACAATGTGCAATGTACAATGTACATAAATAAATGCATGTACATTGTTTGCTATTTCTATTACTATTAAATAATTTTTTTCTGCGCTTACGCCATAATTTTCATGTTTCATTAAAATATTGTCCAAGATAATGATGTTACCTTTTAAACAGTTGTTTTGTCCAAGATAATGATGTTACCTTTTAAACAGTTGTTTTGTTCTAGATAATGATGTTACCTTTTAAACAGCTGTTTTGGCCACATTGCCTGAAGCGTAGCTTTCTTTCCCCTGAACAGGGGTTTGGCCATGAAGGGTCGAGCTTCAGCTGCTTCTTGTTCAGCAGCTTCAAGCTCATCAACAGCATCAGCAATACTATATCAGATACACTCAAACAGATGATAGTGAAGGGTTACCATGATATATAACCTTATAACCATGATATATTACATTTTTTGGCGTCGAAAAAAAATTTAGCAAAGAATTACCACAAGAATTATAGGACATGAAAAATGTGTTCAGTCGTCTTCGAAGGTTAATCCTGGTAGGAGAAACCTTTTAATTGACAGTTATAACCAGAAAAAAATGTAAAGATTGTCGTCTCCTTGATATTTTCTTTCATTATATTCCAGATACTGCTGAGGATTTTTTTAATTTGTAACTTAATTATTTATAAAACATCTTTAGTGAGGAATATAAAGCTATCACAAATAAAATTTTTTTAGAAATTTTCTCTAATTAAAAGAAAGAACGATGATGACAATTATTTAACAGTTTTTTGATATTTTTTGTAGGTAAGAAATATAAAATAATGAAGTGTACTGGAAGACCTGAGAAGTCGGCTTAGAACAGTTCTAGCATCTTCTCTGTTCTGAACCTGCTGATCAGACTGAGCTAGAACAGCACCACGTCCACCTACACAAAGCACACAAACAAAAAGATGTGAAGATTTATAGCTCAAAGATGAAAAATAATGAATGGGAGGGAGTCAACCTCACTCTAAACTCCAGTTCATTTTAAGTACCGGCCTACAGCAAGCTGTACAGTACAAATACAGACTATATAAGGCAAAACTGGACGGTAGGCTAATTAGATGATTCCCTTCTAGTGAAATTTATGTAAGTTAGGTTAGGTTATTGAAGTTAAATATGTAATATTTTCGAGAAGATGAAGTGGTAAAGATGTCCGACAGTCGAGGTTGTACATCTTCAACATTTTTAGCTTCGAGCTCTGCTGCTAGATCAAATAGTGAAAGATTAAAGATTAGGCAGGTTTTAAAGATGTAGGGATTTTAATTTCATTATTTTAGAATAGATTTACCTAGGTATCCAGATCCAACATGGGCATTCACCGCAGTAGAGAACACCTTAATATATACATTCTTACATATTTTTGAGGTCAGAGGATGTATACAGTATACCCAATAACAAAGAACATTTCTTGTCATAATTTAAATTTAAACTTTCTGGATATGTTTATATGTAAATCACGCGGATTTCACAGTTTGTCTAATCCCCGCTAGCTGTGACTTTCGATCCAAAGGAATTGAGTCCTTGCCACAAATCCCAATTTTCTAATACCTATATTTCTACAACCAAAAGATGTAAAACTTTGATATTTCAAACTTATATTGTTTGATATAACAGAAGTTATAGTTTGAAATATCAAAGGTCTATATCATTGAGATATAGGATTTAAAATTCAAAGTTTGTGGGAAAAAACTCAATTCCTTTGTCCTTATTAAACAAACATTTTTCGCCTTTCTCTTGAATCATTTTCTGTTCGAATAGAAAGTTATAAAAAAGATAACTTCGTAAGTATAAAGATGTTTGAATTATAAACCAAAACTCGATTAAATTTAAATAGAAGAAACCCAATGTATCTTCGCCCTGGTTATACCAGGGTTTAATATATAACTTAATATATATCTAGTTACCGCCAAGCAAAGAAGAATCAGTTCCATTTCCAGTTTGTTTCTGAGTTGCGATGTTTGATCAGGATTCCTTATATACTAGTCCATCCCCCACCTCCCACTCTCATTCATGGAACTTATACTCATAATCCCTTCTCATCTTTTCCCAAGTATCCACTCATGCATAAGTATTCCCCTCTCCTTAATTATGCGCCGAATATTGTGCATAAAAAGGCTCAACCATCGTCTTTATTGTTTAATAAGAGGGGTGGAATCTTTTGAATCTTCAATATCAATATTATAATGACAAAGACCTTAGATATTTAAAACTATAAATTTTTCTAGATCAAATAATCTTATTTTGAAATATCACAGTTATCTACCATCACATTGGAAAGATATAGGAATTAGAAATTTTGAGTTTTTGACAAAAACTCAGTTCCTTTGGCGTATTCTATTAAGCTAGAATTTGATTAGGACTATAGCTTACATAGAAAGTTTGTTTGACATCAAAAATGGGCTTTTAGCTGAAACTTTTATCATATCTCTATGCTCAGCTCACATATATAGAAAATTGTTATAAGTTTATTATCAAATTTAGTCATTCTATAAATTCTATCATCCGTAGTTAATATTAATATCAAATTGAACATTTTGTTATTCTGCTGAGTTCGCTGAGCTGAACATCTCAACATCTCAGATCTCCCGAGTTGAGTTCAATATTTCTTATCGTTGGAATCCAATGAAAGATAGGATGATCTCCTATAGTAAGGAAATAATTAGTTTAACTCATCCCAAAAATTTAAACTTCCAACACCCCAGTCAATGGCTTTCAAAGGGGGAAATGGAATGGAAGCTTCTGAACGAAGTCACTTCTTGGACTTTTTAAGCCACTTTTTAATACAGGATCCATCTTTGGTCAATGCTAACTTCTTCCTTATGTGTATGTCTGTTATTTATAAACTTCTCAGCTTAATATTCGTAGATTTACATAAACTAGAGAAGAAATAGTAGGTGCCATTTTTAATGTACACTCTTTAGGTGTTGAAGACTGTTGTTGAGATAAAACTCAAACAGAGAATAAAAAGTTATTATCTTCAGATTATGTGAATGACGTTAAACTTTAGGAAATGGTGAATATAATTATCAGAAGTTTGTACTTGTTGGGATTACAATTGAGTAGTTTATATTTCAGGAGTTTATATTTCAGGATTTTGTATTTCAGGAGTTTATATTTCAGGATTTTGTATTTCCGGAGTTTATATTTCAGTAGTTTGTATTTCAGTAGGTTTTATTTCAGGAGTTTATATTTCAGTAGTTGTATTTCCAGAGTTTATATTTCAGTAGTTTGTATTTCAGGAGGTTTTATTTCAGGAGTTTATATTTCAGTAGTTGTATTTCCAGAGTTTATATTTCAGCAGTTTGTATTTCAGGAGGTTTTATTTCAGGAGTTTATATTTCAGTAGTTTGTATTCAAGGACACTAGTCAAATGTAGGGTTTTAAGATAAATTCAATCGTAAAAAAAATTTTACCTTTCAAGGTTTTCCCGGGTACCAGGTACCTAAGGTAAAATATTTACGAAGAGAACGAAATATTTGGTGTCAGCCTTAAAGATAATTGAGTTGTTTAGTTTTGCCCTCATCTAATAATCCCGTATTCCCTTTTTTCTAACAATTGCTCTTAAAAACACCAGTTAAAGGTCTAAACTGAACAAATAATAAAACGTTAGGTCGGATTCTACATGTCATTGGCAGACATTGAGTGTTATTCTTCAAAGCTAGAAAAATTGTAGGATATCACGGGAAATAAGCATTGAAAATATTATCTTAAGTTTAAAACCATGAAAAATCATCAAAAATGATGCTTTACTGTTACGTTTTGCCATATTTTGAGTGAAGTGAACTTTGGGGGACTGCAAAGGAAAAATGAATTGGGGTATAGAACGAAACCTGAGAATCTCAGGCGTTGAACGATACATATAAGACTTCGATCTGATGTTCCTGTCTCGAGAAATTGATATAAAACTGTGTCAAAGGAGTTGAGTTTTTGCCACAAACTCTGATTTTCTAATCTCTATATCTTTGTAACCCAATGTCGTAGACCTTAGATATTTCAAACTATTAATACTTATAGATAAAATAATCTAAGTTTGAAATATCAAAGGTTTGCACCATCAGGTTGCAAAGATATTGGAATCAGAAGGTTTGAGTTTGTTGTAAAAACTCAATTCCTTTATACAAAAATTCATATATATGAAATTTTGTATCAAATTTGGAGTATTTAACAGATCATATTAAAGGGAGTGACTGGCTCTGTAAGGTAGTTGAACTAGGTATGTAGTGTTGTGGAAAACTTCTTTTGGATTCATTTGAGACATATTAAACTTTTTAAAGATCTATAAATCCTGAGGTTGAGCGCAAATTTGACTTTCAAAACTCCTATTTTGGGGGTGGATACGTTTTCAGAATTAGTTTATTTCAATGATGTTTTATATGTATTCTTTAACACCCGAGATTCTCAGGTTTATCCTATGCACCCTTTCATTTTTCCTTTACAGTCCCTTTAAGACTTTCATAAAAAGATAATTTTATACAAAATCCTATGCATGTGTTTGTGTTGATGAAATAAGAATGAGATTGATGATACCAAATTTTAATAGATAATCTCTAATCATAATTCGTTTTATATTATCTTTTATTTTTTAGATTATCCTAATACAAGATATTAATTAATCCTTCTCTTAATCGAACAACACTCCCTGCAAGGGGTTTAATATTATAAACCCTTATAAAAGGTGGCCTTTTTATGAAAAGTCCCTTTTCTAGATATTTCCGCCGAAAAAAATCTCATTGCCAATATACATTGTACTTTTGACGTTGAAAATGAAATTACAGCAGAATTAAGTGTTTCGTGGTGCAAAGTTAAAAAAATATATTTCTCTGATTTTATTTAATTATTTAATATATTTCTTATTTAAGTTTGGCGTATATTTGAATCAAAATTCTAAGAAATGCATTTGATAAATAAAGAAAGCGTGCAAACTTCTTTATTGCGCGAAAAAAATGACACATTTCTCATAAAACGAAGCATGAAAAAAAATTAATAAATCAAAACAAAAGGGTCAAAGTTAATAATTCCACAATTCTCACAAATTTTATTTTGAGCTGAATCAAAAAATTTCTCAATCTCAAAAAGTTAAAAGATTTTCTTTAAATTTTTATAAAAGAATAAGTCTGAACACTTGCCTCAAACTCTATATTTCTTTGCAGCCTGATTGTGTAACCTTAGGCCATAAATAATAGCATAAATTCAAGGTTTTAAATATCAAAGGCATACGACATCAGGTTGCAGAGATACAATAAAAAAAGTTTGAGGCAAATGCTCAGTTTTCCTACAGTGATAACAAGAAAACTCTGAAATAGCAAAACAACTTTTACACTCAATTTATCACTTTAAATAGTCAAGTAAGTATGGAACAAAGCAATTGTGCAGTGTAAACAGACTCATTTCACTTAATTAGTTGTTTAATAAGTGTCTTATAGTAAAAATATTCGCTTTATAACAACATCAAAAACACTTAATTATTGCTATAAAGTTTTCTAGTTATCACTGTATGATAGTTAATTTTTGTATTTGTGGTTTAGAAAATTAACAATCAAACAACGTGATCGCAACATGTTGCTTCAAGTTCAACTTTTCAAAATTTACATAAGAAAAAAACTTAGAATATCACAGAAATTTTAATAAAAATATTTTAATTTAAAACAAATTAATCACAGGTAGTCATTCGCTAAAATTTTAATGAATGCTTTCAAGCATACTATGAGCATTGAGCACAGATATAGCTACAGCCAATCATAATATGAACATTACGCATAGGTCAGCTGATTTAGCTACAAGTATAAGTAAGATAAACCTGGAACCCCAGTTTTATTTTGTTGCATAACATAACAACATGATAAATATATAAACTATCATAGATATTTAATACCTCGTCTTTAGGTAGGATTGTCTGTTATATTGAACACTATACATTTCAAATTATAGTATAACTTAAGCATAGATTATGGAATAGTAAGTATATCCGATTAAGCCATAAAAGATGGATTAATGTATGAATAAATTATGATGTTCAAGATATGCCAATTGTTACTTGTCACTCCAAACGTCCCTGCAGTAGCTTGAGCAAAAAATCTATTAAAACTTTATTTCGTTTTTAAAAATATTGTGTTTTTTTTTAATATCTCCATGTTATCACTTTTTAATGTTTTATCACTTGTTATTTAAACAATAGTAGAGTTATTTCTTTTCTTCAGTTTCGCCTTAGCCATTGCTTTAGCGAAAGCAGTCCATGAACCATTAACACAAGTACCTTCCCCTCTCCACCAGGTGTTGATATCAGAGTAGAAACCAGAATCACCCCGATCCTACAACCATAAACATTTTTTAATCCAAACATTTTTAAAAAATGGTTCTTGCCAGTTTCCTTTAAAGGATTAAATCTGTCATAAATCATATTTATTATTTATGGAAACACAGTGTAAGATAAAATTTAAAAAGATTTTCAAAATGTCTAAATAATTTTGATTAATCATTCAATAAATGAAAATTTAAACCGAATTCTGTTTATCTCTTCGGTATTTGACAGCAATTATAGACTATATTTGAAAATGCTAGCAACCTGGGGTATTCATGATTGTTCTTTCATCAATCATATTGTAAAATTATGTTCATGATTAAGCATCGCAAAATCTCAACACAAAGGAAGTGATAATGTTTTGTAGAACAAACATGATCATTGATTATGCCCTTTAAAGAGAAGCATTCACACCCTGGATTTCTAACAACAAGAAATATTGACATTTCTTTATCAAAATCGATATTTTAAAAACGGAAACATACCTTTTTATCATGCAGAAGAGAACACATTCGACAAAAGAATTTAGTATCAATCATTTCACCAGTTCCCTTCCATTGAAAATACTCATTGTAAAGCGTGTCGTCTTTGTCTAACACGTGGAGGTATTCAGCTAGTGCTGCAGGGGAAGCGAAATTGTCCACGTGGAGAAACGATTTGTGCGGGGCACTGCGCTCATAGTCTTCAGGCCTTGCGCCCATCACAATAGGCAGAACATTATGACTAAAATGAAGAAGAGTTATTTAAGATATTATAAACTTTTTAAAAAATAATCAAGGCATTTTTTTATAGACTTCTTTCTTTAATTTACCTGAGACCATTGACATAAAACTTCTCTGTAATGTAGTCTACACAGTTAGAGTTCTCAAACGCCAAATAGAACTTGTAAGTTGTATCCAGGAGATGGAGACAGTTTTCATCAAATCTAAAGAGATATATTTTAGTTAAAAATATAATCTAACTAAAAACAAACTGAGTTTTTGCCACAAACTTAAATTTTCTAATCCCTATATCTCTGTAACTTGATGGTGTAAAATTTTTACATTTCAAGCTTAGACTATTTGATCTAAATAAATTCATAGTTTGAAATATCAAAGTTGTATGGCTACATTGGGTTGCAAAGATTAAAAAACTCAGCTTCTTTCTCAGTAGTTTTTAAGAGATAAGAAATAATTTATTTACATATAGAACCGAAAAAAAATATTTAAATTGCTCAGAAGTCTGTAGTCCCGAGAAGATGTGAAAAGAAAACTATTAGACCAAAAATTATTGATCAACAAATATTAAATTTGGAACATGTTCTGTGCAAGGATTTGAAAGTTTTATTTAAGCTAATTCGACATTTTTCCACTCCAACCAAGCTTCAGGGGATGAAAATAGAGATGAAAACGTCTCTAAAAAATATTTATATTTTCATAGGAGCGATACAAATTGTTTTATAAATTATGATATCAAATAAATATTTACACTGAAGGCAGTATTGATTAAAGCTTTTTTGATGGGCTAAAGTGAGATTTTATAGTATTTATTTTACACGTTGTAATTTCAAGTGACCCTCCATTTATAGAGTGGCATTTCCGATGTACCTTTGAAAATTTCATTTCTCCATCATTTCTGAAGCAAGAAATGCGCGAGTTATTTTTTGTAGAGAAACCACAAATAAAAATAATCAGTTTTCATAATGGGAAACATGGCATATTTAATGCAATACTTGATCAGACAACGCTTTGAAGGGTATTGTTGTGAATCAGAATATATTTTATTTCTTTTCTTAATCTTTTAGTTTTGGTTGCCATGCAATGCAATGTAGAATGTTGATTGTCTGAGGAAGGGAAATGCAAGCAGATGTAATATTAAAAGAACCCAGCTGANTATACCACAAGATTAACCATAGATATCCACATAAATATGCTTACTAAACATATTTACCACAAGATTAATCATAGATATCCACTTCAATATGCTTAATAAACATATATGTACTACTAGATTAACCTTAGATATCCTCATCAATATACTTACTAAATATTTACCACAAGATTAACCATAGATATCCACATAAATATGCTTACTAAACATATTTACCACAAGATTAATCATAGATATCCACTTCAATATGCTTAATAAACATATATGTACTACTAGATTAACCTTAGATACCCTCATCAATATACTTACTAAATATTTACCACAAGATTAACCATAGATATCCACATCAATATGCTTACTAAACATTTATCACAAGATTATCCTTAGATATCCTCATCAATATACTTACTAAATATGTACCACAAGATTAACCATAGATATCCACATCAATATTCTTACTAAACATTTACCACAAGAATAACCATAGATATCCACATCAATATGCTTACTAAATATTTGCCACAAGATTAACAATAGATATCCACATCAATATGCTTACTAACATATAATACAAGGTTAACCATAAATATCCACATCAATATGATTACTAAACATATACCACAAGATTAACAATAGATATCCACATCAATATCGTTCTCAAAAGCTTGTATCTAACACTTATTTATTTAAAACTGTTCGAAACAAAAAAATATTGTTTTTATAAAATCGTTTTTAAAAAATAGATAAATAAAGAATAAATTATTTTTTCACCTCAACTCCTTAGCATACTCTAATCTTCCATTCCTAGCTGCGCAGTTGGAAACAAACCAGGCAACTTGTTTAGTCTACAAGGAATTATTAAAATAGTTATTTAAGATCAATATTATGTTAAAGGGCGTCTTTGCGAAAACTGAAAAGGAGTATAGGGTGATCCCGAATTGAATTTTCTTCTTATAGACACAACATTTAACATCGCAGAATAATTATTATCTAGGTTTGTCTTCGGTGTGGATGATTATGAGCTTTTTCCTCAACAAGTGGATCAGAAAAAAAAACTAAGAATATTTGAAAATGTTTCCAAAATGTTACCTTATTTTCTGCATAATTCTTGGGTTGGATTAGAGATTTTACATTAGGATTGTAATATCCCCATCTTTCGTACGGAGTAACAAGAGTTGAATCAGATCTATATAATTAAACAAGAATAGAACCAGATCTATATAGTTAAACAAGAATAGAACCAGATCTATATAATTAAACAAGAATAGAACCAGATCTATATAGTTAAACAAGAATAGAACCAGATCTATATAATTAAACAAGAGTTGAATCAGATCTATATAATTAAACAAGAATAGAATCAGATATATATAATTAAACAAGAATAGAATCAGATCTATATAATTAAACAAGAGTTGAATCAGATCTATATAATTAAACAAGAATATAATCAGATCTATATAATTAAACAAGAATAGAATCAGATCTATATAATTAAACAAGAGTTGAATCAGATCTATATAATTAAACAAGAATATAATCAGATCTATATAATTAAACAAGAATAGAACCAGATCTATATAATTAAACAAGAGTGGAATCAGATCTATATAATTAAACAAGAGTGGAATCAGATCTATATAATTAAACAAGAGTTGAACCAGATCTATATAATTAAACAAGAGTTGAACCAGATCTATATAATTAAACAAGAATAGAACTAGATCTATATAATTAAACAAGAGTTGAATCAGATCTATATAATTAAACAAGAATAGAATCAGATCTATGTATGATATTTAAACATGTATATATAAATATAAATAACTAAACTAAGAAATAAAATGACCTATAAGTTGCAGTCCAGTTAAATACTTCTTTGTGCCTGAACATCTGGGTGTTTAGTGGACATTCTATAATAAAGAAACTTTCAATGAATCTTGCTTTGATAAAGATTTCAGATTATTCTTTATCGTCATGAATCTGAATTTTCAATTCTATCTGATTATTAGATTGAGAAGTAACAATATTACTAATTTTCAGGAGTAGGTTCAAACAACTGATAAGAGCTATTTTCATTGGATTTTTGAAAACATTTTGAAAACCTTTGTTATTTCAAACTTCGACTATTTGATCTAGCAGAATTGAAATATCTACGACACCAGGTTGCAAAGATTAGAACATTCGAGTTTGAGGCAATTGTGTCCAGTTCCTTCAATACATTCACGCCTTTGTTTTATGAAATCTAGAAACTAACCTAACATATACATCATCCAGAGCTGGTTTACAGGTCGATCAAATCCAGGCATAACGAAATGATCCTTGAATATAATCAAGTCTGCTGTACCGCTGTCTCTTCTAAATGAACACTACATAGTACAAATTGACAAAAATGAAAACATTTAAAGCTTGGAATGAATATTATTTATTAAATATGTATTCTTCAAATACAAGAGTTAACCTGACCTACTGGTTGATATCACACAAGAGTTAACCTGACCTACTGGTTAATATTACACAAGAGTAAACCTGACCAACTGGTTGATATTACACAAGAGTAAACCTGACCTACTGTTGATATTACACAAGAGTAAACCTTACTGGTTGATATTACACAAGAATAAACTTGACCTACTGGTTGATATTACACAAGAACAAACCTGACCTACTGGTTGATATAACACACGAGTAAACCTGACCTACTGGTTGATATTACAAAAGAGAAAACCTGGCCTACTGGTTGATGTTACGCAAGAGTAAACCTGACCTACTGGTTGATATTACACAAGAGTTAACCTGACCTACTGGTTGATATTACACAAGAGTAAACCTGATAAACTGGTTGATAATACGCTAGAGTTAACCTGACCTACTGGTTGATATTACACAAGAGTAAACCTGACCTACTGGTTGATATTGCACAAGATGAAACTGGACATTTCATCTTAAGGAAGAGTCCTCGGCCAGGTTTTGTTCCTCCCCAAGCAGAGCCACCGTTCCATAATAATATCTTCTTCAAGGGAGCATCAGCGTCTTCCTGGTCTGGTAGTTCATCTGCTGGGGGTACATACATCAGCTGAACATAAATCAGCTTATCAGTTTCACAGATTTATCAGTTTGTGATTTAAACATATTTCATAAGATAATCAGATAAAAAAGTAGTGAGTAGGGCAGCTAAATTAATATATAATTAATCAGCAAGAGCCTTTGAAGGAGTAAAAGGCTGATTTACAAATCACAGCGGTACCATCTATAAAATATCTTTTGCATTATTTGGGAAAATGTCGTAGTTTTTCCATCGCAAAAAGTTTGGAATTTTGTTTTTTGTCTCTGTTGCATAAGATCCGAAAGCCACTGTTATATACAGTGACAACCAGACAATTTAGGAATAGGAAGACGACATGAAAGCAATGCTCGTATTTGATGTTGTTACAAAGCAAACAGCTTTACTAGCAACCTATTGAATCACTTATGAATTGAGTCTGTTTACACTTCACTGCAATTGCTGTGTTCCGTGTTTATCTAAAGTCAGAACTTGAGTGAGTATTTACTCTTAAAGTCATTATAATCCATGGTATAGGAACTTAAATAAAAGTGAGATTTTACATATAAATAAAAACCCCAAATAAAACAAAAAATAAAATAAAAGATAAAAAAGTCTTAGTCCGTGAATGTTTTTAAAGATTTCAAAGTAAATATAACGACCTTTTACCATCGCCATTCACTGAATGCAATGTAAATAATAATTGTCTTAAACTTTAATTTCTGAGTTGAAAACTAATGAATTAGTGAATTACCTGGTTCAGCATCCTGTCCCCTGACTCTTCCTCAGGAAATAGATTTATTAATCTCTTTCCATTTTCGTCAATCTCACAGTTCTCTGGTCTAAATATCAATAATTGGTTGAAATTTGATTCAGAGAAAGACGACATAAAGCCTTTACCTTAATTTTCCCTTTCGCATAAACCAAGGTCTATTTTCTACTGAAGGAATACTCAAGTCCACTGGCTCTACGGTCTCTACATTATCTTCAGGGGAACTCAAGTTTAATATATCCTTTAATAAAGATATGATTATTTTTAATGGTCCACAAATGTTCGTATTATACTATCTCATAAAAATCATATTTTTATCGACTTATTCATAATTATCATCATTATTTTCGTATGAACTAAAGGTGGTAAATTGTTACTTTAATAATTTTGTTAATATTGTTGGTATTAGAATGGAAAATATTTTTATTTATTTAATTATTTTTTTATTATAATATTTATTATTTCCAATATTTTTTGTCATATAAAAACTTGTAGAGAACTAATATATCTGAATGTCTATGTAAAGTATACGAGGTGTGTCTATGTAAATACCTGAACATCTATGTAAAGTATACGAGGTGTGTCTATGTAAATACCTGAACATCTATGTAAAGTACACGAGGTGTGTCTATGTAAATGTTTAGAAGAACAAGCAAACAGCCTACAGTACCACCTAAACATATTGTAGTACAACGAAAACTACATTTTTTCTTCAGCGTTGTTTAATGTTCATTCGTCATAGTTTAGCCAGTTTAGTATAATACAAAATAATTTTTGGACTAATCTGTTTTTTTCATCTTGTATGAATAAAATTTTAGATTTATGTAAAGACACAATTGAATATTACTTCTTGAATTCAATTTAACCTTTACGCTTCAGTTCCTCTTCACACGATTTATTATGTTTCTTTGCATAAAATTAATCTTTTACTGATAAAAAAAACTATTTTACTGATTTTTGAATAGTTTTTAATTAATAACTTTTAAATCTTAATCTAAAAAAAGGTTTAGCATTAAAAAAAAGTATTCCTCCCCTGGCCCCACCTTTACCTGCTATTGATAGCGTTCTCTTGACGGATAACCTCATTTTTTATTTTTTATTTTAAGGTTTAATATTCTATTCTAGTTTTCCAATTTCATGTTTATACATAAATCAGGTTCAACAGCATCATCAACCGTATCCTTCCTTGCTTCGTTGACGACATATTTCCTACTAAACCAAACCATGCATATTGTACAAATGTGTATAAATTGAAACTACACCGTGTTAATCATTTTGGTTACACTTAGAACTAATACACTGGGTTAACACGAAAATCTATCGTCCATTCTTCATCACGGTGAACTTTCATCACAAACTTTTAGCAAGCTTATATTTTTGTTGAATAAGCACCATAACATAACCAACCACATTTTTCAAATTCTTCTTAAAAACTCGCTCTGAAATATTAAACAATTTTGAAATCTAAAGCAAGTACATATATATATAATGTTTTAAAACTTTCTATCGAAAGGGCAAACTCGAAATACAAGTCCGAGGGTTTGTAAAAAAATGTAATTTTGCCTTTTGTTCGTTGATTTACCCCCGTATGTTGATCTTATTTTATCCTCAGAGGGTTACCAACAAATTATCAGACTTCAGAGAAACCTGTTTTAGGTTTTCAGTCTTTTTCAGTTACATCATTCCCCGCAGCGTAATTCTTTAACAAATCATTAATTGTACACCTAAAAGATAATAGTTTGAAGAGAATACAAAATTGAAACATGAGATCGTCTTACTAAATGTATATAATCATGAAAGGGACTGCAGGCGTAATTTCTAGTGACCCTATAACTCCATTTATAAAGTGGCAAGTCCAATTTACAATGGTACCCCTAAACACTTTTTCTGATCAAACATTAACATTGATTATTTACAATTGTGGTTTCTCTAAAAAAGTAACTTGCGCAATTCTGCTTCAGAGGCAACGGAGGAAACTAAAGAAATAAAAATTTCGACCAGGTAAGGAAAACAACGATTTCTTCCACATTCTTCATCAGATAAATGTTTAAAAGTATCATTGTGAATCGGACATTTTTTTTAATAGAATATCACTTGAAATCGACATTTGCTTTGAAGTCTTATTTTTATCATGCATAATCCTGGGGCATCAAAAGAAAAAGGTTACAATCACTTCTGTTTACTATTATAGTATTACTAAGCCATATTCATATTGTAAATTGGTGAGAAAATTAGCAAAATTTACAATTTACCCTAGTCTAACGATGTAATAAAATTTACAATTTACCCTAGTCTAACGATGTAATAAAATTTACAATTTACCCTAGTCTAACGATGTAATAAAATGCTTCTAAGAAGTATACAATCATTCGCTATCTTGGAAATTATTTTGTAGAAAATTTGGTTTAAATGCTGAATAATAAATAAATACTTTTTATATTTTCTTTTAGTTCCTAAAATTAATCTTCGATATTTTGGAGTATTTGAATCCATCACTATCATCCAGGAATTAGATTGAAATATAATTATCAAATTAATTTAGTTAAAATATAAGTAGTATGTGAATTGAAGGCAGGATACTGTTCCTGATCATATACCCTCAAATTAATCGAATTAACGAATGTAATTTGAAATTAATGACAAACACTATTTAATGTTTATATATTAAAAATGAATTAGGTTTTGGCATTGTACGAAATGCCAATTTGATATTTACAAATGTTTTACATTTTTGCAGGTGCGAACTTTAAAAATAATATATATAATTTGACTTTACAAAAACTGTCAAACAACTGTTCAATAAAGCCGGAAGTAACTGTTATATATTAAATATCTATATTAAAAGTGACTAAAATGGTTGATAATAACTTGCTTTGTTTTATATATTTTGATAAAATTTGTTGGAAAAAAGTATAATAATTTTATTGGGAAAGTTTCACTGCTTCCTGTTCTATATATATATGTTCACTTTACATAGAGCAGGTAAACTATATACTTTATAGTTTCACGGTTTCACCGTTACTAGACACCGGCTGGTATAGAGTGTGCGTGTGTGTGTGCGTGCACTGTACTTGTATGTGTATGCTAGAGAAAGTCTGGGGTTGTCTTTAAAAGCGCTTATTGTACACACGATCATTCGTTCATTTCCAATTTAGAATTCGTATTCGTCCTTCCTGTGGCCGAATTTAAAGAATTTGAGCGGTGGTTTAAATTTAAGCAGAGGTTTAAATATGGTTGGTTCCACTTAAAATTGTTTCAAATGTTTCAAGATTTAAGCCGGTGCTTAATTTAAACCGGGCTTTTGGCGGGTTTAAACCGCGGCTCAAATTCTTTAAATTCCATCTTGGATCAAATATTTTCTTAATATTTAAGTATGAGAAACTTAAACTCCACTAACCAATTGTCTGACCTATACTCCACTATCCAATCGTCTGACCTATACTCCACTATCCAATCGTCTGACCTATACTCCATGCACTATCCAATCGTCCGACCTATACTCCACTATCCAATCGTCCGACCTCGGACCTATACTCCACTATTCATTCGTCCTATCTATACTCCACTATCCATTCCTCCTACCTACACATCACTATCCACTCGTCCGACCTACACTCACCTATCCAATTTATTCGACCTAGCTATACTCCACTCGTCCATTCGTCCGACATATACTCCACTATCCATTCATCCGACCTTTACTCCATTATCCATTCGTCCGAACAATACTTCCCTATCCATTTGTCTAAACTATAATTCACTATCAATTCGGCCGACCTATAGTCTAATATATATTCTATATATTCTATTAATTCTTTCGACCTATACTCCACTATCCATTCGTCTGAACTATACTCATTTATCTATTCTTCTGAACATACTCCACTGTCAATTTGTCCGACATATAATACTCCACTATTAAGTATTAATTCGTCCAACCTATACTACACTATCCATTCATCCGACCTATACTCCACTTTGCATTCGTCAAAACTATTCTCTACTATTCATTTGTCCGAACTATACTCCACTATCCATTCGTCCAACATCCACTCCTCTATCCATTCATCCGACCTATACTCCACTATCCATTCGTTCAATCTATACTCCACTATCCATTAGTTCAACCTATACTCCACTATCCATTCGTCTGACCTTACTGCTATTATCCCTATTATCAACCTGCTTTCATTAAAAATGTAATAGACTTTACTCGATTTACACTTGTCTGACTAACTTTAATATTACTTGTCCTAAGTTCTGCAACTCAAATATTGATGGGTCCTACGTTCTGAAATATTAATTAGTCTTTCGTTCTAATATATCTATGCAATATCAACACGTCCACTGAGCTCAAATTTTAACTCGTTTATATACGTTCTAAAATATTTTATATATATATGTTTAAAAACTGTTTGACTATTTATTCATATATGTAACTTATATTGTGATGTAACATGTTAAATATTTTCAAGAAAAATAAAGATTAAAGTTGTGGTAATAATATTGACAGCATAACATAATTACTTAGTTTAAGGCTGTTGAAATATTGAAAACGAGGTTTAAAGGAAGTCTGGTTTAAGAAAGAATAAGGTTTACAGTTCAGGAGAGAATAAGGTACAGGAGAGGATAAGGTTCAGGAGAGGATAAGGTTCAGGAGAGGAAAAGCTTCAGGAGAGAATAAAGTTCAGAACAGAATAAGGTTCGGGAGAGAATAAGTTTCATGAGGGAATACGGTTCATAAGAGGAAAAGGTTCAGGAGAGGAGAAGGTTCAAGAGAGGATAAGGTTCAGGAGAGGATAAGGTTCAGAAAAGGATAAGGTTCTGGATAGAATAAGGTTCAGGGGAGGATGATGTTCATGACAGAATAAGGTTTAGGAGAGACTAAGGTTCAGGAAAGAATACGGTTCAAGAGAGAATTAGGTTCAGGAAAGAATAAGGTTCAGAAAAGAATATGGTTCAGGAGAGGATAAGGTTAAGGAAAGGATAAGGTTCAGGAGAGAATAAGGTTCACAAGAGAATAACGTTCAGGAAGGAATAAGGTTCAGGAGAGGATAAGGTTTGGGAAAGGTTAAGGTTCAGGAGATGATAAGGTTCAGGAGAGGATAAGGTTCAGGAGAGAATAAGGTTTAGAAGAGATTAAGGTTCTGAAAAGAATTAGGTTCAGGAGATATGGTAAGGTTCAGGAGAGGATAAGGTTAAAAGAGAATAAGCTGCAGGAGAGGATAACCTTGAAAAGATACGGTTCGTGAAGGATAAAGTTTGGAAAATAATCAAGTTCATGATGTGTTTATAAAAACTATTTTTACGTGTTCTTTATTTTGAATATTTGTGGTTTGACAAAGAAAACTGCTAATCAGTATTTGTCAACATATCGTCCTAAACTCATAGATATGACAAGGTAATTAGTTTTTAGATCGGTAAATTAATGTAGGGAAAGTTCACGATATGTAGTTTTTGACTTTAAGGTTAGGTATTTATGCTCGATTTAGATAAAATAATAATCTAGCAACTGTCAGAGCTATTTGTAGGATGAGAATTAGCATTTTATCATTCTCACTTTTTAAAACTTTTTTAATGTTGGTATTTCATGCACTGATATAGGAATTAGATTCAACCGCTTAGTTTTTGAATTTAAAACGATAGAAAATTTGATAAACATTTCGGGGTTTTCTTATTTTTGGATAACATACGAAGATATACTAGCCTGGGAACCCAGCTTTGCCTGAAAACTAAACTTTAATATAAATCAACTTAACATAGAATTTTTAACCGAGGGTAAAAATATCTCCGTGCAGTTATACCGAATTCCCCACTTTCAATTTGAGGCAAATCGGTGCAGAGGTACCAGAGTCATGATCGGACAAATTAACCAAACAGACAAACATAGACTTCCACTAATTAAATATAGATGTATTTATTGTACATTTTTTTCACGTAAAACGTATGCCACTCTTGTATGCCGAGTCCATTAGCGCCTGATCCAATCAAGGTCATGTGTCTGCTGAACCAATAGAAATAGTATGGCGGTAACATCTTTCTATCTATCTTTCTATCTATCTCAATATCCAATTGGAGTTATGAATCCTTCAATCGGCGCTATCAGTAAATGGAAATATTTATTTCTACTGAAACTATAGTGATGCACAAAAACTAATCACTGTAAATACAGAAGACGGAATCAAAACAATAATTTATTTTGATTAAAAAGCTGGATAATCTGAGCTTAATTGCTTTACAAACTTAATCAAAATCTTTTGTTTGGCCTCGTTTGAAACCATATAAATATCCAATCAGCAATCAAACCTTTAATCATGAAAACATCAATGATGTTTTTTATAAAATGTCCACTCTCTCTCAAATATTATAATGTTATATCTTGATACTGTTTTCATTGTAAAGGTTCCATTCAGACATTTTGTTTTATTTCTTTACAAGTATAAGTATTGTGTATAAAGTAATGTTTTGTTTTATTTCTTTACAAGTATAAGTATATGTGTATAAAGTAATGTTTTGTTTTATTTCATTACAAGTATAAATAGATATGTATAAAGTAATGTTTTGTTTCATTTCTTTACAAGTATAAGTAGATGTGTATAAAGTAATGTTTTGTTTTATTTCTTTTCAAGTATAAGTAGATGTGTATAAAGTAATGTTTTGTTTTATTTCTTTACAAGTATAAGTATATATGTATAAAGTAATGTTTTGTTTTATTTCTTTACAAGTATAAGTAGATATGTATAAAGTAATGTTTTGTTTTATTTCTTTACAAGTATAAGTAGGTATGTATATAAGTAATGTACAATAATTTGGTTCGTTTAAAAAAACTTTAAAGTTTTGGAACCATTATAATGCCTCACAAACATCTTATTCTGAAAATTTGCTGTTATTGCACTGGATAATATACACTATATAATATAGACTAGAAACTTGATTCAAGACATTATATAATAGAGACACTAGACCCTTGATCATTTCTTTACTCCGAGTAAATTTGGTAAATGGGGCAGTAAAGACTTATTTCTAATCATAAAGAGGCTGAAGTTCAATTCAAAACAAGTTGGTTCTTGTTTGCCTCATATCTTCTCTTCAAAGAAAGATAACACACTATCCACGGGCAGCCGTAGTACATTTGAATTTCCGACCGTTCCGTTTCAAGTTTGTACTGTACAAAGTTCTATGGACAGAACTAGCTGGTGCAACAAGGTTGACGCGGTCAGACTTTATGCTTCATATAGGTTGAATTTACTTTTACTGAAGGGGCAGAGGTGCGTGTATCGATTTCACTGGTCCAGAAAACTTAAAGTTTTTAAAAGCAGCAGCTGCAAGTAAAGTACTGCATATATGCTCCACAGTAATCAGTCAAATTAAATTTACATCTTTAGAATTGTATCCCAACCAGGTGAAGAGATTTCTAAACTTAAACGAACAGCAATATTATTTGCTGTTAAACCCCTCACAGGTAGGTAGGTACAGGGTGTCCCACGAAACATGACAGTTGATAAATAGTTTTGAATGTCGTCTTCCATGTACTGTGTTAGATATTAAAGTCTGTTTGCAGGATATTTCGTTTAAAAAATCTTTTGCTCAAGTACATTTTACTTTGAAATTAATTTTACTGTAATATGACTTCTCTATAATATTTTTATTATTGTCTTTGGTATTAAACAACTTAACAAATATGGAAGAAGACATTCTAAACTATTTACCAACTGTCATGCTTTGTTGGACACCCTGTAGATTAATCGATAGCTAGATAGATAGATATATAGATTTAATCAATTTTGACGACTTACGATTGACGACATATATAATCCAACCTTCAAAAGATGTGCAAACAGGCCATAGAACTTAAATATTACATGTAAACCGACCTAGAACTCAATAAAGATTTGTAAACAGACCTTGAACTTAAAGATTGTGTGTAAACAGACCTAGTACTTAAAGATTACATGTACACCTACCTAGAACTTAAAGATGATATTTAAACAGACCTAGAACTTAAAGATTACATGTAAACCCACCTAGAAAAAGATTTAAACCAAGCTAGAACTTAAAGATGATGTGTAAACCGACCTAAAACTTAAAGATGATGTGTAAACCTACATAGAACTTAAAGATGATGTGTAAACCGACCTAGCACTTGGAGATTATATGCAAACCGACCCAGAACTTTAAAATGATATGTGAACGGACCGAACTTAAAGATGATGTGTAAACCGACCTAGAACTTAAAGATTATATGTAAACCGACCTAGACCTTAGGGATTATATGTAAACCGACCTAGAACTTTAAGATGAAATGAAAACGACCTAAAGCTTTAAAGTAAACTGACCCAGGTTTGTTTTATTTTTAGTTATCTATTTCATGATATGGGCGGTGACCAATACAGGTGACATGTTGTATAATTTACGTTTTGTTCAAATAAATTCCAAAATAATGGGGTTTCTAAATTTCAGTAAATACTCAGCTTTGGGAGGAGAAGGTTTGCAAAATTACACTCAATTTTACAGGTATACTAGATAATAACAAGTATTAGGATTTTTATATTGACATGTCCGATTCACACCTAATTACACCTTTATCTGAGCAACAATGAGTAAGATATCGTCGTTTTTCTATCTTGAAATATGTTGAATTCTGACAATTTTCTTCATTATCTCTCCTGCATAAATCTGCAAGGAACTGAAATAGAGAAATCATCATTGGAAATTATTAATTTACAGCTAGAAAAACAGGAATATTTAATTTATTCCTGTTCAAACCTTGAAGGTGCACAATAGCGTACCGAGTGAACTCAATGTAGCTGACATAATTCTCAAAACTCTGAATGGTGTTCTTAAAATTCGTAAAAAATATTCGGTATAAATCTATTATTTTCAAATATAAAACAGCTTGCAAACAAAATCATCAACTAAATAAAGGCATTTCTTCGGATAAGATTATAAGATAACTCCGTCATCCTTGATCAGTCCAAATATTAAAGGGTACCATGATCAGTTCAAATATTAAAGGGTACCATTGATCAGTCCAAATATTAAAGGGTACCATTGATCAGTCCAAATATTAAAGGGTACCATGATCAGTCCAAATATTAAAGGGTACCATTGATCAGTCCAAATATTAAAGGGTACCATGATCAGTCCAAATATTAAAGGGAAGGGTACCATTTTTAATTTGACATATCCATCCACAAAGGAAGCGGTCTTTTAAAAATGAGTTAACAGACCCTTAATATTTACAAAGAACCCCCTTCATGTAAAATTGAGAAAAGCGTATGTGTATAAAAACCAACCAGATTTTCATGTGGGTATTCATGAGAGAGGGTGGGGGGGTTTTTTTCCCTCTTTTTCTTCCTTTTATTGCATGAACTAATTTTGTATTCGATCTTATGCCCAAATCTGATGAAATCAATAAATAAACGTGGTTTCATGAAAAAAAACATTTAAAAAAACGTTAAAAAATGAGTTTTTAAAATAGCTTTTTTATAAAGATGAAGTTTGTAATGCTTTAACGGATCCAAGGTTTCAGCAGGAAAATGATCAGGTAAACGTATATATTCAATTTTGAAAATATAATTTGAAAAAAAGAAAATTATCAGAAAATTCATAATTTATTGTTATAGTCAACATAGTTAATTCTAAAAACATTTTAAATAAACATTGGATAATCACAAGAAAATAGTTAATGTACGGGAAACATATTATTTTTTCACACATTTATTAATTTCTAAGTAACCTCTCAGTGGCTTCCTTCAAATTTTTATTTGAATAAGGATAATGGTAAATTTTTTAAACCCGAATTCTGTGTGGAAATTCTCGAGGCGCTTTTGTGGAATTGCAACCAGAGCATGTTATCAATTGTTGGTTGAAAAAAGATATATTTCTGTCAGCTACCTTTGTGTTGCTCTTTAAATGATTATTTGTTCATTTTACACTGACAATTCCTTTAAGGTTCAGAAAACTGTGAATTTGTATCAAATCTATGATTCGTATTTTGAAAGTATTCCACAGGCGCTTATTGCACTCTATCTTGGACCCCTTTCAGGTACTTTAAAAAAAAACAATACAATTTATTACAATATTATCAATATGTAACAATTCACAATTTTTTTAACCTTTTAAAGTGATTGTTCACCTATTTTTAAATTCACATACTATCCTAGTTTTTGAAATCACGATTTTACCACCAGAATGTTCAAAACTCTCTGTATATTATTTACTTAAAAAAACATTTTACACTGATTTCGTGGATTTGACATTTGGCCCAGAAACACTTTAAGAGACAAAATAGGATCCTAAATCTATAACCTGGGGTATTATGTGTTTTTAAATAATTAAAACAATCCCTTTAATCAATACTTGTTAAAAGATAAAGGACGGAAGAGGGTTATGTTAATTCCATTTATCGGGCATTTTCTTTCCTCGATAATGTCGTTACTAAACATATTCTTCTTCTCCTGGGATCCACGCTTCCTCTGGCTTCAGGTTTTATTCTTTATTTTATCAAATAGTTTCATTGTGAGATTCTTTTTCAACTAAACATTTATACAAGGTAATATTTAAACATGTATACAAGGTAATATTTAAACATTTATACAAGGTAATATTTAAATTTTTTTTTAGTTTCAAGTCTGAATTCCCTTGCGCGCAGGAAACGCCCCAGCAAATTTAATTTAATTGAAATTTATTGAATTTTATTGAGTCTTTGCCACAAACTCTGCTTTTCTAAATCCTATATCTTTGGATTCCAATGTCGTAGACCTTAGATATTTCAAACTATGAATTCTGTTAGATCAAATAATATAAGTTTGAAATATCAAAGATTTATGACATTGGATTCTTAAGATATAAGGATTATAAAATCAGAGTTTGTGGCAAAGACTCAATTCCTTTAACTGAAAAAACGTTGTTTCGACTTTTAAAGACCAAAATTTGGAGGTTCGCCGAGATGATAATTTATTTGGTAGGGATTTCACTTATGCTACAGTGAAACCCTTAATAACGAATACATCGAAAAAATATATATATATATAAAACTCATTGAAAAAGTGTCAAGACGACATTTGATAAATTATTCCGATGTATTCGTTATTAAGGGTTTCATTGTATGGTTTTGCGCTACAATTGTGTATAATAAACGCAATTTAAAATATTCTATTTGTCAAACCTTTATAATGACTTTTCTAGGAGATATACACGTTATTCGGAGGCTATACAGTTATCAGTATTGCTATGTAAGTATTTTTTTTGTTATTTGAATTATAAGGAAGTATTTTAGCAAAAATCTATTCTAAATGGTTTATTCCAGAAAAGTGTATGTTTTTTAGAAAACTTAAATAAAATTTTATGTAATGCTGTATTCCACTTTGTATGGAAAGAATATTTCTAGAATGTCAAATGCATGCAAAGAATATTTCTAGAATGTCAAATGCATGTGTATGCACAGAATATTTTCTAGAATTCTAGGAAAGAATTAAACTTTGGGACAGAACATATTCTAGGATAGGAGATATTCATCGATAGGATATATTCTAGGAAAGGATATATTCTAGGATAGGATATATTCTAAGATAGGATATATTCTAGGATAGGATACATTCTATGAATAGGATATATTCTAGGATAGGATATATTCTAGAAAAAGATATATTCTATGATAGGATACATTCTAGGATAGGATATATTCTATAGGATAGGATATATTCTAGGATAGGTATATATTCTAGGATAGGAGATATTCTATGATAGGATATATTCTAGGAAAGGATATATTCTATATTCTAGGACAGGATACATTCTAGGATAGGATATATTCTATAGGATAGGATATATTCGAGGATAGGTATATATTCTAGGATAGGATATATTCTAGGATAGGATATATTCTAGGACAGGATATATTCTATGATAGGATACATTCTAGGATAGGATATATTCTAGGATAATAAATAGTCTAAGATATGATATATTCTATGATAAGATACATTCTAGGATAGGATATATAGGGGATGTAACTAAGGTTGAGGAGAGAACGGCGTTGATGTCTATTCTATCAGGTAAAATCTTCAAAGATTAAAATATTAAACAAAAATAAATTTATTTACTTCAAGGTTTAAGTTTTATAATGGTCCCTCTGGCAGATTTTTGCGGTGTTCAACTCTACACTGTAAGTTTAAAATATATAAATATTGCAATTATTTCTCTATCAACTTGTATTAAATATATATTTCAGTATTTTGGTTATTTTGCTACTTATGGAACCTCCTTGGGATTTGTTATACTAGGTATAAACTATGTAGGTAGATGTATTTGTAGAATTAAGGACATTAAAAAGTAAGACAGAAGTTAAAAGGAAAAACTCAAAAGTTTCTTTTTTTAAAATATATAATCAAGATAATTGTTTAGGAATAATTTACCTCCAATTTATCCCTGAAAGTGTGAACAAAGGAAAGTCAGAAATAGATAAAGAAATTATAAATGAAGACGACAAAAAAGAGAACTGGTTTAAAAAACTTCTTAAGCACATTCAATCAACGAACTCAGTTCTATCTTCAACCTTTAAATCAATCTTCAAGTAAACATTTTCACATTTAACAGAAATAAAAAGTGTAAAAATCTCAAGTATGCATACAAAGAGAAATAGAAATAATTGCCTATAAATAGAAATAGAAATAATAAATAGAAATAATTGCCTATAAATAATTGCCTATAAATATTCGGAGTAATTTTTAAAAAAAATCCAAATCCCTGCTATCCCTAGAGACATTTGATAATAAAAATTAAAATCAAGCTAGTCAGCGAGAATACCACTGTTTGCTGTTTATCACTGTATGTATACTTGGAACTTTAAAATGAATGAAACTGATTTGAATTTAGGAAAGAATTAGCTTTCCAGAAAGTTATTATTTGAAAAAAATCCATAATCAGTTTTACAGGGAAAGAGAAGGAGGAGAACGGGAACTTATTCTTCTCATTCTAGGACTCGGTTTAATTGGTAAAATATAGATAAAGATTAGAATCTCACAAATTCTTCTTTATTTTTTCCAATATCTAAAAATCTTTCGGCACTTTGAGGGACCGTATGACGTAATTTCAAATATGTTCTGTTACTAGGAATTGCTCGCAAGTAAAATCCACTTTATATTTCGGAGCACGGCATGACCCATTTAAAATGGTACACTTTAAAACTTTAGCTGGTCAAGGATAAATAAAATATTCTTGTTTTTTTTTCCTAGCCAAAATGTTCCATTGTGGGTTCTCTTTAAAGGTGACTTTATGTTGCAGAGACACAAAAGGAAATTGTCAGAATTAAACAAGTTTTCAGTTAGAAAACGACAATATCAACCTCATTGTTACTCAAACAGATATTCTAGGGAACCGTTGTGAATCGGACATGATGATCTAAATTGAGGGTACCTTGAAATCTGGTCTACAATCCATTTCATTAATTCCAAGTTAATCTTTTTGCGGTTTTCTTTTCATTCTGTTTTTTTAAAACTAATTGTAGCAAAATAGGATGCCAGTCAAACACAATCATGAAAGTTGAAAAACCTTTTTTTCAAGAAGAAATACTTAGAAAAAGAAAAAACATTAAAAAATCTCATAAATGTTTAATTTAGGCAGCATCAGAGGAAGGAACGCACTTTAAATAATCAAATTATTTAGAAATGTTTTGCCATAGCTTATAAATATTATTTTCCTTACTTTTAAACATAATATTTATTTTTCAAATATAAAAAGGTTTTAAAAATCATAATCATAAAAGAGTTTAAAAAGTGTTGTTTATTAGCAAAAAGTAGCGGTTTATTGTACACTCAGAAGAAATTTGGTTGGTCTGTTACAGATTACAGTTATTATACTATGTTCATGGTAATTTCATTTCATGCTTTTTATATCTATACATATATATACTTTGCTAATCTGTTACAGATTAAAGTTATTATACTATGTTCATGGTAATTTCATTTCATGTTTTTTTATATCTATATATATACTTTGCTGCAGTCTGTTTGTTGTCCAATAAACGTCAAAACGGCTGAACCGATCGGGCCCAATTTTTTTGTGGGGCCATACATGACTCCAGGAAAAGTTTATGAATGCTCAGAATTACAAATAGTTGTCTCCAAAAAATTTATATTTACGTAAAATTTTGAAAATCCACGAGAAACAAGTTTTAATCCTCTAAATTTCTATTATGTTTCATCTAAAAGAAAATTCAGAAAGATTGAGCAACAAAAGTTGTAATAGAAAATGGGCGCGAAGCGCTCTGATATCCTAGTAAGATATAAACCGAATTTAAAGTTCGCAATAAAATGATTACTTTTTAAATAAAAGTTCCCGCTGTGGCCCTTTTTTAGGGGCGGTGAAGCCCCTCCCCCCTCTACATATGTATTAAAATATTAAATATTTAGGTTGTACACCTAGCTGTAAAATCTTTATTCATTCTTCCAATCCTCTGCTACTGCTTTCAGGTATATATTCTTTAAATAATAATAATGCGAGGAATGTTCAATAAGTTTAGCGATCAAGTTCTATAGACATCCCAGCACTGTCATTTTCTAGTTCACTATATTTATACCAGTTCAATTTTCTGACAAGCTAATGTCGATAACATAACATGTTGGATGCAGTTATCTTTCTCACTGAGCCCGTAAACGTTGCTTGTCACAGTCTAAATATTTTATCCTTTTTTGTGTGTCTAAAGGTTGGGTAAACTTAAAAAGTCAAATTGTAGTTTGTGGTTTTTCCTGCTTGGGCATTTCCTCTTTCTGCCAACACACTCCATTACACTTTTTCTCTTATAGTCCACACGTAGACTGTTCATATTATTCTCCTCTAATGCATTTTGGATCATATATCAAAGGTGTGTCAAAGACCGAATTTGTTGTGTATCAAGCATACCCATACCCAGTGTTTACTTTTCCTGGTTGGTATTCAAAACGTTCTTGAGCTGTGACAACGGAGCTAAACAACCTCCGAGAAAATGCGCGAATAACATAGAAATAAAAATTTTGATGAATAAAGTTCGGTGGGAGAGGTCAACCGGGATAGATAGTAGATACAGTGAGTTTTGATAAAAATACAGGGCTGAGACGTCTTGAAGTACCTAGAAGCAAAAATTATTGAACATCCCACGGGAAACAATTAAAAAAATACTTTTTATAATAAATCTGCAAACTTAATTATTTTTTGAAAATTACTTATTTCAGGTTCACGACTGTATGCTGGGTCTTTTAGGTAATTCAAATGATATGCGTAAACTATGATATACTTTCAAAATTAAGTCTTTTGTTTAGGGTACATGAGCTCAATAGTAGAATATGTNAAAATTACTTTGTTGTTTAGGGTTCCATGAGCTCAAAAATAGAATATGTTTAGGGTACATATGAGCTAAATAATAAAATATGTTTAGTGTACATGAGGTCAATAATAGAATTTGTTTAGGGTACATGAGCTCAATAGAAGAATATGTTTAGGGTACATGAGCTCAATAGTAAAATATGTTTAGGGTACATGAGCTCAATAGAAGAATTTCTGGTCTTTGCCTTTGCTACAAAAGGTTGGATGATGTATTATGGATCTGCTTTATCTGCTTTAGGGTAATAAATATATTGGTCGTCTTTAATCCGTAAGTTCTTTAATGGCATTCCTTGTCCTTTAGTGGAAGTAGATCAACCCCTGAATCTGCTTTGCTGACCAAGTGTGTTCCAACCTCAGAAATTGGGAAGGTATAAGAATTGAAATTGGATTTAATAATATAAACTTAAATCCTATTTTTCAGGTCTATACACTTTATAGTTTCTTCCAAACATTGATAAGCCTAGTGATGTCTTCTTCCATGCAATTGGTAAGAAATTTGTGATAAATTATCTGGGGCCAGAATTAATGACTGGGAGAAGTAGTTGAACTACGTAGACGTAGTTTAGCCTCATCTTGCTATCTACAGTAGTAGTAGTAAATATCAATACCATGAAGACGAATTTCGATCTCAATTCTGATTTCTATACAAACTGTTTTTTAAACAGCATGGATGCACATTAATATGGAAACAAAGAGAAGCTGCCAGCTAACACCTTTTCTTTGTTTAATTGTTAACTTGTAATTTGAAAATTAACTTGTCAGAAATAAAGGAAAGTCGTCTTTGTATTGATATAAACACTGACCAATATTAAATCTGGCTAGTGTCCTTGTTCTGAAAAAGTATTCGACACCGATGACGCAACATCTGCATTGAAAAAACTGTATGCTGCAACATTTCAGTAAACAATACGATGAAAATTTATTATATATCTATATAATAAAGATCTTTGAATAATATATATTTATATATATTTATGTGCTAGGGGTGTCAAAGGCTAACATTTCAAAAAAAGCGTTTTTAAAATTCAACTGGCAACGCCGGGCATTTCAGCTAGTATTCTATAAATACAGTGGAATCCTTAAAATTGTGGAATATCAAGACGACATTTAAGTAATCTTCAGTGTATTGTTATAAAGCAATATATTGTTACCAGTTATAGCTTGAAAATAAAATGAGGTGAAATAAGTACATGTGTACAATGAAAAATCTTCTGTTATACACAGCACTGGTACAATATTTTAGGTATGCAATGAACTGGTACAATATTTTAGGTATACACAGCACTGGTACAATATTTTAGGTATACACTGCACTGGTACAATATTTTAGGTATACACTGCACTGGTACAATATTTTAGGTATACAATGCCACAATCGAAACTTTCCTTGGTGCCACTTATTGTATAGCAGCAGGGCAGAGTTTTATAGGGTACGTACAAATTTTACTATATTCTGCATAGACCATATACTTAATTATTAAACCCGTTTTCATCCAAATTTCAAATTCAAATTTCGGATTTTTACGACATGACTAAATAGTGAAAATCCGGGTAAATGGTAAAGATAACATTAGACATAACTTCGATTATTAAATAAAAATAAATCAACCCCCCCCCCCTCCATTAAAATGCCACTGTTGCGCCTCCGGAAAGTTATCCCAATATATACTGTAAAAATGAATGGATCCTTTGCCACAAAATCTGATTTTCTAATCCCTATATCTTTGCAACCAACTGTCGTATACCTTTGATATTTAAAACTATGATTTTGTTCGATCAAATAATCTATGGTTTACAAAATTAGTTTGAAAGAATATAAGGATGAGCAAATTTGCGGCAAAGGCTCAATTTATTCACCCTTTTGCTTGAAACAGTTTTGACCAGTTTAAATCTATGAAAAATAATCATAATTTTCAGGATGTTGGGAATGATATATCTGTACAGGAAAGTTATTACAAATGAAAGAAAGAATGGTCCTCTGGGCACAAGGGGAAAGGAAGAATAAAGATATAAAGTATAAATTTGGTCTAGTTTCTACTTCCTCCAGTCTATACCAGGATACAGGGTTAGTCAACAAATATAAACTTCACGTCAAACTAAAGTAGATTAAGAGTAAAATCTTAAATGATTTCAATCATAAATCATCTTTTTGAAGAGCTATTTAGAAGAATTTCTTATATTTAGTAGGATACATTTGCTTTTTTATAATTCTGCAATAGCATAAAATCAAAATAAAAGGAGTTACGAGGTCAAAAAGTTGTCCTTCTCCTTCCGTCTAGTTTAGCGTGATTTATTTACTCTCCAACGATGTGACGCCAACTATCCAGGGTTACCCACAAAGGATGAGACTTCATAGACGATTGTACGGCATTTGTTTATCCGTTTTCTTGCATTCAGGGTTCCTTGTAGGCTAAAACTGGTTTATTTCTGTGCTAAATCATTTAGTAAACCAGCAAATTATTATTTGAATGTAGAAACCAAAATCAAGCTTCAAGCTTTGTTAGTAACCCTTTATGTTAAACGAAAAAAAGAATGGTCCATAATAGCCCAGTGAATTTCAGAGCAAATTCCGTATAAAATATTCTTATTTCGTTACAGAAACGTAAGAAAAGATATGAATATTTCTTCTGCTAATATCTTGTAAACAAATTATCCTCCACAACAACGCAACATTTTAACATTTTTTAACGGAAGTGTTCGCGAAAAAATGAAAAATTATGAAAAATTATGAAATATCAACTAAATACGAATGCGTCGAAAAATAATCGATGACTATTGTTTGTAATATCTGAATGATTTGTTTGGAATTAAATTGATTTGTTTACGATCCGAGTTAAATGTTGCATCTTCCTGAACTTGTATGGACACTACATTCTTCATTAGTCGTTTTTAACAATCTTCTCCTTAAAGACGCAACAAATATAAGTAAGATTAGTAGCGACCAAAAGCGCTTTTTTATCGCATTAAGCCTATACCCCCTTTTATTTTTCGCGAACACTCCCTTTAAGTCAACATTAAACTATCCCTTGTTTGGACATGTTTTTATATTTAAAGGATTTATAATTTAAGAAATAATATTTATCCCTGAGTTTATGAAAATTGAATTTGGAAACAACAATATATATTTCAGCATTTTGTGTTCAAAATTTTTTACGTACATTTTTTCTCCAAAAATAGAATTTAAAAACATGATATTATTTAAGTCAGAAGCTACTGTTTTCAGCCAGTAGTTTTGTAGTTCAAATTGAAATCATGATATTGTTCAAGTCAGAAACTACTGTTTTCAGTCAGTAGTTTTGTAGTTCAAATTGAAAACAGGATGTTGTTCAAGTCAGAATATACTGTTTTCAGCCTGTAGTTCTGTAGTTCAAATTGAAAACATGATATTGTTCAAGTCAGAATATACTGTTTTCAGCCAGTAGTTCTGTAGTTCCAATTGAAAATATGATGTTGTTCAAGTCAGAAGTTCAAATTGAAAACATGATATTGTTCAAGTCAGAATATACTGTTTTCAGCCAGTAGTTCTGTAGTTCCAATTGAAAACATGATGTTGTTCAAGTCAAAAGGTACTGTTTTCAGCCAGTAGTTCTGTAGCTTAAATTGAAAACATGATATTGTTCAAGTCAGAATATACTGTTTCAGCCAGTAGTTTTGTAGTTCACATTGAAAACATGATGTTGTTCAAGTCAGAAGGTACTGTTTTCAGCCAGTAGTTCTGTAGTTTAAATTGAAAGCATGATACTGTTCAAGTCAGAATATACTGTTTTCAGCCAGTAGTTCTGTAGTTCAAATTGAAAACATGATATTGTTCAAGTCAGAATATACTGTTTTCAACCAGTAGTTCTGTAGTTCAAATTGGATCTGAAAAAAAAATTTATTTTTATTTTTTATCTATTAAAAGTTTTTTGATAAATCAACGTAACAAAGTCAATGTACATGGTACTTTAATAACAACCTGAAATTCTATAAATACACGGATATGAAGGTTGAATTTGTTTCTGATTGAACGATAGTTTTTAACTTCCCCCTCCCCCCGCGCCTTCTCTTGTATTATTAAATTACGTTTACCGAAATGGTTTGGATTTTCTCTTTCTTCTGTTCCGAAAATTATCGTTCTCTGAAACAAGATTTTTTAATTTAAAGTTTTCAGAAAAAAATAAATTAAAAATACCTAATGCCTTTAGTTTGTTCAGATTCTCCCTGAACAAAAATTGTATAATAAATGAAAATATTTATTTTATTTTATTTTGGTATACCTGATTATTTTATTCAATTGTTCATTTAACCTGAAAAAATATTTCATGATCTAATATTTATTTAAAAAATTTTTTTCCTATCATATTTCCAAATTTTATATCATCATTCTATACTTTCCTGTTTTCATTTGTTCGTATTTGATTAAATTTTTCTTCCTCCAAAATAGCATCAACATCATCATTGTAATCATAATCATAATCTGGTCTCGAACTCTAAACAAAATAAACAATAAAACCGGTTTTGTCTTGTTTACAAACAATATGTAGAACCTGATAGTTTGGATCCCGACAGCACACAGTATCCAACTCGTCGCTGTTAGGGTCATCACATACCTTCAGCAGAGTAAAATTACAATTTAAGATTTATCAGTTAGTTAAATTATCATTTAAAGATATTTTAAAGGGACTGTAGTAATCTTAAAGGGAGTGTGTTACTAGACCTGGTGTTTGATCTGAGAATGCGGTATATTAGAGAAATTTTTCAGTATTTATTTGAGAGTTGTGAGAATCGGTTTTTCAAAATCATTCAATGACGACCTCGAGGAATGTAACAAAAATTCTTTTGTAAACTAATTTGTTGTTTAGGAACAGGTTGAAAACATAAAAATTAACTCTTATTTATTGACAAAAAACTATTGAGAAATATGTTCCTAATCATAATTAGCTTACAGTAGAACTTTATTGTTACATTTTCGTCGTCTTTATTGGTTAAAAAATGATTATCAAAATCATCCCTCCAAAATGGACAATCTGTGATTTTTAAAATATTGAATTTGCGCTCTTGCTGAAAAAATATGCACCGAAAAATGTCTGATTGGTATCGAATGAATCCTAAAAAATTTCTCTACAAAACTGCATCTTAGCCTAACTACCATGTCTAGACGGAGACACTCCCAAGTAAACATTTGTCTGATTCACAACATTACCCTTCAAACATATAGGTAAGCATCAATTTCTCTATACCATAATACGCATATCAAATTCAAATAGAAACCACAATTGAAAGTAATCAAAAATAAAGATATCTCGTACATTCATGATCAGACAATGTTTAAAAGGGATGTGAATGCTGAATAGATAATACCACTCTAAATAGAATGTCACTATAAATCACGTTAATACAGTCCCTGCAGTTATGGATTAGGAAATGCGCAAACAAAATTTTGCAATCATGAAAATTCAAAAAAACAACAAAAAACCAGTTTACTGGCCTTGTTATCTATTGGACCAAAAGAACTTACAATTAATGGAACAGACTCTGTAAAACTGAATATATTCCTAAACTTGATCTCTGATATAACCCCTGTCCCGTCACATCTGGAATAAAAAATATTTAAAAAATAATGACAAAGTAATCCTGCGAAATTACACGAAATGAAAATTATTACGCGTAACTGCACGTAATTACGCGTAAGAGAATAATCTATTACGTTGGAAACCCTAATAATTAGTCTTTTGATATAATGACTTAAACGAAGTACAGTAAATAAGATTTGAATAGTTTAGATTTCTGAATTGAAAGATTATATACATATATGGAATTGTTTGGTAAAAACTAAAATCCGAACACTTTAAAACTCGATTAAAGGATAGAAAAAATGATAATTCCAATGTTTTTGTCCAATTTGTATTGCCTACATTTTTGTCATCTGTTAAAGATTAATTCGAAAAACTATAATAAATATCTAAATTGTAAAGAATTGCTTGGCAAAGGTATAAAAACACAGCGTCCGTTTAGCCAACAATTAAAGAAAAAAGACAAATCAAAATCCGTACAGTCGTCTCTCTTCAGTTTTATCTGTATAATTACTGCAGTGTCAGCTTTAACTTTCTCATCTCATAAAATATATTTATGTTGACACAAATAAAAGAACAACAGGAATATTCGGTAACTTTATTGAATAATAGCATGAAATGAGAAATAAAAGCAAAGTTTAAAAATATTGGCAATTTGGAGCGGATATAGTATTATAGTATTGTGAATCTTCCGCGGTCAACTTCGCTACACAGTAGTAATCGTCTTCGTGTTTTCTTGAATTTGTTAACAATTTACTATTATGATTAAATCTATTATATAAGATCGTTACCCTGAGTTCCCAAGTATGGATCGAAGTGCATTCATTGCCATTGCAGCTTTCACTCTTGTCTCCAGGGTCCCTTGGATTCTTGACAGTTCTCCTTTAAGTATTTTAAAAATTAAATGTTAACAAATTCAAACTTAATTTGAGAAATGACAATTGCAAACGTTAACTATACAAAAGAAATCGAAAATTGACTTCCTTCAATTATTTTATTTTAAAGCTTTTGTTTTGAACTCATAATTTAATATGATCTTTGTCTTATATTATATCTGAGGCTCTAAGCTAATGTATTTTTTAACTTTTTAAAAAACATTCCTGAATTTATGTTTCTGTTTGGTGGTACAAATGATTCTTGAGAAACATTTATCACCACAAATGGATTCCTCGGTCTCTGTCCTGAACACAAATTTTCTGTCACACTTTTTATCTTTTACTCAAATTTCATGCTCATTTGAGATTCGAAAAGTTTTAAAAATCTGTTGAAAATTTAATGAGTTAGACAACAACTAAACAATTATACCGTCAAGCATATTTCAAAATTATGAAGCTGGGAATTTGAGCAGGAAAACATCTTCAAATCATTTGTTTTAAATGTTTTAACAAATTTTACTTTACAACAACTTCACTGATAAATAAAAAATTCATATATCACATTTATGACTTTGAATTGTCGCAACGCCTTGTTTTTTGGTTTATAACACCAATCCACTTATACTTTTATGTGGTGCTATGCTTTTTCTAGTTTTAGTTAAACTTGATTAAGTTGATCGAGTAATTGGCAACATCCTGATCGATTTCGTGTGACATACATTAACATTGAAAGTTCAAGTGCTGAGAAAAATCGTTTTGATATATCTTGCATAATTTCTCTGAGAAAAGTTGGTTCGAAGAGACTAACTTACTTTTGCACCAGGACAGTTGCACACCCTGAAGCACTGCTCAGTGCTCAGTGCTCAAAACAAAACGAAACAATATTTTGAATCTAAAATTATTTGCTCACCTAGGTTTATTAGATCTACAGATATATCTGATATCACCTGGGTTTAGTAGATCTACAGATATATCTGATCTCAGCTTTCCAACTTTATCTAAATATTTTATATCATTATTTTTTTCATTTACTGTAAACCTATTGTTGTTGGTTTGTCTGCATTATATAAATGTTAAAATAGTTCAGCCGATAAAGCCAATCTTTTATTTTGCGGAAAAACGCATTACCTATGTTTGATTAAGGACCGGTCTGGATGAAAATTATTTCTTATGTGATAATAATTTAACTAATATTGCTAATTAGAAGTTTTGTATAAATATACTAAGACAAGTTGCACATTTGGAAAAATGCTTTTGGGAAAATACCTTAAAACCGTTTTAATGTTCTATGTGATTAAATTGAGTTAAAGTTAGGTTCGAAATAAATTTTAAGAAATATTTTCATTTTTACCTTGGAGCTGACAACAAACCCCGAGTAGCTGGGCACTTGAAGATACACAGGACTAGAAAACATTGTTTAATTATATTTATAAAAAAAATCGAAGAAATTGTGTAAATATAAAATTTTTTCCAGAAAAATATTAGAAATTATACAAATTCAAAATCGTTTATTCAAACTATTTTCTTCCTTACAAGCCAAATTTTAGCCCTGAAAGAAGATAGATGCAAGAAATGAATCAAAACGATATTTTAGCCCTGAAAGAAGATAAATGCAAGAAATGAATCAAAACGATATTTTAGCCCTGAAAGAAGATAGATGTAAGAAATGAATCAAAACGATATTTTAGCCCTGAAAGAAGATATGATGCAAGAAATGAATCAAAACGATATTTTTTTTTGTTTGGTAAATTTGAAAACTTACCTCATCTAGTTATGAAACAGTATTTTGCGGTATCTTTTAAATGTCCAAAAAAAGGCGCAGGAAAAAAAAACAAGTTAATTCCCATCATTACTTACAATAAATCCTCTTTGATCAGTTTGAAAATTAAGATTGTTCTCTGCTTGTGAGCTCATCACCATATCATTGTTGCAGAAATTTCTAGCTGTACATCTTACAAAATACATAATCATTTTAATAATAATAATAATAATAATAATAATAATACCTAAGTGGATCAGGACATTTAGATAATAGTACTTGAGCTTTAGAAGTTTCTTTTCGTCCTAAAATTGGAATTTAAAGGATTTTCTAAAGATTTAAAACACATTTTATAAATAAGTTTTTTTACTAAGGAACAAACGTAAGCTCATTGAACAGTCCAATATGATGTTCTTTTACAAATTTTTATTCACTTTAAACCCAAAAAATCAGGTTACGTTATATAAAATTAATCCGATTCCATATTTGAAATCCAGAGTTATCAACAAAAAATGAGACTGTATGACAGCATGCGACTCTTATAACTTGTAAAAGTGTTTTCACTGAAGTTTCATTCTTTATGAGCAACCTGTTTGTGTTGTATAATTACCCTTCACGGCTTCAGAGTTGAATAATATGTTGTCCCAAAAGTGTCCTCCACCACTTCGAACAGATTCTAAACATTTGTAAAAAAACTTTAATTTACATTAAAAAAAATCCCTTGAGAAATATGATTGAAACAGTGCATCAATAATTGCCCAATTGAATTGTACATACAGGGTGACAAGAAAAATTTGAAATTTGGCAACAATTTTAAGCGATCATCATTTAAACAGTGGGATGTTCTATTAAATCTCTATCTGAGTGACGATGAGGAAGATATAACCGTTCTTTAATCTTAAAGCGTGTTGAATTCTTACAATTTTCTTCATTATATCTGCAGCATGAAATTGATGAAGAACCCATAATTAAAAATAATCAATTTTCCGAGAGAAAACTAAGGTCTCACTTCATATCTCATTTCAGACATAAAGATTTAAAGAGTACCTTTCTAAACCGGACAAGACAGCATATAAGATCTAAAATTTGGTCTAAACTGTACAGTCCTTGCTTTATAAACCGGACAAGACAGCATATAAGATCTAAAATTTGGTCTAAACTGTACAGTCCTTGCTTTATAAACCGGACAAGACAGCATATAAGTTCTAAAATTTGGTCTAAACTCTACAGTCCTTGCTTGTAAGAATAATTCTACAATCTACAGTTTAAAGAGATTTCGTTAATAAATTAGCTCTAGATCTGTTTTACTGACTGATCACTAGCTTTCAAGCGTCAATTTTCCACCACCTACCGGGGGTAGTCCGAGTTGCAAATAATAATAATAATAATAATAAGCTTTAACCCTTTGAATGTAAAAAATCATTAATGAATCACTGTATTTTCTATGAAAAAATTGATAATTTTCAACTGTGGTTTCTCCATAAATAAGACTGCGGATGTATCCGGCAGAAACTGAAGAGAAGGAAATTAAACGATAAATCAATGACAATATGTTGCTTACTACTGCTTAGATACAGATTTACAGAATCGGGCGTCCAACTCTTGAAATGGAGGATGATCATCTTATTAAAGTATTAGAGTATGTTTTTTTCGGATTTCTTTGATTGGGCCAGTTGCTAGCCATGATGATCCGGGAGCTACCGATCAAAGCGGTGTAGATCGGGAGGTTTTTTTCGACCAAACTCAAAATCCTGGATACTCGTAATCATAGTTATTATAAAAACATCGTCAACAGATCATTTAGCTGATGATCAAAAATCCTCTAAATTTTGAAAGTAGTAGCACGCCATCTCTTATCCTTTCTGCAAAATCTGTAATTACTGCGAGGATTTTACGATGCTAAACGTTTTGTTTGTTGTTGTAAATATAGGAGAGTAAAGGATACATTAACACCGTAGGCAGTACCATAAATAGAACATAGAGTACTTTAAAGTACAAATACTATTCACATTTTTCTAGAATAAGGAAATAAGTTTTTGATTTCATTTTCTTAGAGGCATTTATTTTATATATTGTTATATATATTTATATTTGTCAACAAGTTTACTAAAACTAAGTTTCATATGTCACAGTCTTGTTAAGTAGAAATATTAATATAAATGACACAAACTAAAGGGTTTTTTTGTATCCAGTATAAAAGTTTAGATTACTTGAGGTTCTTGTTTGTTTTGTGTAGAGCCTACCATCCTTCATCCCCACACTGTCTACTGTTGAATAGATAGATAGATACAAACAAACCAGAACTAGGTTATGGCAATTAAAAACGTTTTTTTTAAAATAAAAATTCCTCAAATGATATTTCTAAATATTCTGGTTGACACGTAATATCCTGGATTGTAAAGACGACATGCATAGTTTGATATCACTATTATTAACGGGCGTATGGATGTTTAATCCGTGTGGGATAAGGTATTCTTTGGCGTTCTTTAGGTTTACAAGGTAATAATATTCTAAGAATCTACGAGAGAACTAACCCCTTGCCTCCCCTTGAACGCCCTTGGTAATTAAAGACAGACACATAATAATGTCCAGAATAAAGATCGATAAAATGAAAATTATTTTCGACGAGCTTTGCATGAGAGGTAAAAATAAGACTAAAAATATGTCAACACAGACCAGATTGTTGTAGTTTTTCGTGAAATGTATGACACGTCAATATTCTAAATGAAAGAAAATTATCCCTTATAAGCTAATTAGTATAGTACAGCAGACCACAGTTCTATATTTGCCTGCAGGGATATTTTAACCATTGTTGGAAACCACATTTATATTTCTATATTCAGGTTTATTAAGGAACTAATTAATATTCGTGTGCTTGGGTTTACATATGTGATGTTTATATATATATCATATATGTAGTTTAAATTCTTGTAAACCATTTTATAACACAGGGTGTGTTTACTGTTTACTATTTAACCAACTGAAAAGGACTGTATTTCCCTCCATTTTTAGAATTGCATGTCCGGTTGACAACGGTACCTTGAAAAGATTAAAAATTTCTCGTTAACAAATTCTGGTTTCTCAGAAACTCAGTACGGATTTCTTACTACTAAAAAGTTGTGAAAATTGTGAGAAATTAACAGAAACACAACGATATCTCCCCATTATTGATCAAATACGAATTTAAAGGGTACCGGTGTTAATTGAACATGTCCCCTCACTGAATTAAAGGGCAAATAAAATTACAACGACAGCTTTAGTTTTATTAGATCCCTGTTTGTGTAAAGTACACAGATTATCAGATCTAAATTCTAAAATATATTAGTAGAGATTAAAAATTTAAATCTGCTGCTAGGACCCGAAAAACACCCAAATATCTTTTTCCAAGAATTATTTTCTTAATATAGACAGTATGTGTTGAATTTTAACCATATCTTTATTCTGGAAAACAGAATTTTTGTTATCAATAACAAAACCTTAAATCTTTGAATGTTTTTCTTCCAGATTTGTTTCAAGTTCAATTGTATCTATTTTATCTACGTCATCACCTCAAAATACGTTTGACAAATTCTAAAATTTAGTTGACCGGGCCAGGTTTTGATACAGGATGTCCCAATAAACATGGGAATTCAGTGACGAATTCGATATCGTCTTTTCAAATAGTTCTTTGATTTAGTATGGTGATACCTACTGAGAAAGCTGTAATCTGTAAGAGTTTCGTCTGCTATGTTCACCTTTTGTTTGTTTATGGTTTGGCTGCATACGGTCAAGGATTTAATGCAAGGAAAGTTATTTCAGAGGTGTACGCATATTTTGTACTGCAGTGTACTGTCACTGGGCGGTAATGTAAACACAAGACCGATGTCGAAGCTTTCACATAAATATAATCAATGAAATATTCTGGTCATATGAAACTATAATTATGTGAATTATCAAAATTATCAAAATTCAATGCTTTTAACTTCCTCGGATACTAAACTAACACTGGGGCATCTATTCTTGTTTACAAATTCCGCCGAGAGAGAACTGGTTACAGTATGTACGCAGAGTATACGCAACTGCAATTAACTTTCCTTGCATTACATTCTTGCATACGGTTGTAATTCGTAAAACAAGAAAATTGCATTATACAACCAGAGTAAACTTGTCTTCACAGTTCATATTGCAGAGACATTAGAGAAACACTTTATTAATTTTTTACCCTTTTCATAAAATAAACTCTAGCAGACATAATAATATTATTGCTTTTGAAATTAGGTATTACATTACTAATTCATAACAAAGACGATATCCAATTCTTCACTGAATTCCCATGTTTTTTTGGGACACATTGTAGGTGTTGATACATAAAAACAATTTGTAAAACTGACAAAAATACAATCCGCTCAATGATGTTTGTAAGTTGCCACAACCCTGGAGTTTTGAGATACCACTTCAAACAAGACATCTTGGAGTTTTTACAGAAAACAGTTTAGAGGCATTCTGCTAGCCATAGGGCCAGTTTCTGAAGAAAAATACCTAAAAGCTGTTGTCATAGTTTATAAAAATATGATAGTATATATCTTGTGTTTTTACATCCATTTTTCATTATAAAAACCAATTGGTCTGCTGAAAGGGAGAGACCGGCTATGCATGGTAGTTGAGTTGAAAGTGCAGTACTGTGGAGAATTCATAACCAATGAGACAATTTTTAAATAAGAGCGTAAAGTCGTTTGTAATATTTCCCATGTTGTTTCAGCCAGCAGAATAAACGTTTTTTACAATTATTTAATACTATGGAACAAATATGTAAACAAATATTTACAGACTAATAAGCTGTTTAGGAACATAATTCTCAAAAGAAATCATCGATTCAAGCCTGTGGTAAAACCGTAGAATCGATTATTTCATTATTATTACCATTTTTCTTTCTATAGTTTTATTAGTAGATTTCTTCAAATGTCGTCTTCACAATTAAAATAAAAAAAACGTCCAACAAGCGACTCTAGTTAAAAGAATTTACATAAACCTGCGAGATTTTAAAATCAATTTTAAAAACTTATTTTCAATGATAAGTTTATTATTTTTCTCAACCTATTTGTATCTAGTTTGTTGAATAGTATTTCTTAATTACATGTTTTGTCAATGTCTGCATTTAAGAATTGTAAAAATAAACGTTTCTTCTGCTGGCTGAAACAACTGGTGAAATATTACAAACGACTTTACGCTCTTAATTAAAAATTTTAAACCGTAAAAATGCCTCAATGATATCAAATGAATCCTAAAGTTTTTCTCTACAACACTTCACTTTCAGTTCAACTGCCATGCATAGCCGGTCTCTCCCTTCAAGTATTTTTACCATTCACTATTCAGCGCTCTTTTTCATCCTAGAACCATGATTAGCATATATTTGGGTTCACAAGGAGTTAATCAAGAAAACCATGCAATACAGAAGTATCAAAATCAAAATCAGAAATAGATCTCTTACACTGCCATGTTTCATGTTTATTGACCTTTTGAAAACCAGAAAATGGGTTTTAGAATCGTCTTCCTATTCCGTAGTTTTATGGGTCTAACTGTCCCCGTTCGTAAACAGATAAAATAAGGTCCTTTCATTGGATATATAAAAGTGCCAAGTTTTTTATTTTATTTTTACTCTTTCTTTTTTCCTTGTACACAAGGACGCCAAGATTATTCGTGAACTTGAAAAATCCACTAAATGATAATGATAATATGCATAAGATCAGCACTGTCCAACAACTGTTGGTGTTTAACCATATTGCGTACAAGCGCGTCACGAATATTGAATTTATGCCAGAATATGCGTACTTTCAGGGACTAATATATCGTAGCAAATATTTAGTTCATTTTGAAAATAAGTTTAAGGTTTTTAAACAAAGAAAATTTTAATTTTGATCTTAGTTAATATTGATCCCTGAGTTATGGGAAAATCATTATAAATCTAAGAATGTAAATATTGAATTTTAATAATGAAACATATTAAGACCTGACTTCTTTCTTTAGAAAACAATTCAGGAATTTACTTTCCTACGTAGTACGTACAATGCAATTGATAGAATTAAACCACGAGAACGACATAATTTTTGAATTCGTCCAAGAAACTATTGTTTAGATATTGAGTTCCTGTCGTTCCTGATGAATTTGTCTTGCTTTTATTACAGCAAATTTGTGTCAAAATATGTATATGTAAGGATACAGGGCAGCAACAGAGGGAGGGGGGAAACCGGGCGAATACCCCCCACCCCCTAGCTGATGTACCGCTCATTTCTTAAATAAAAAACAATGATCTTCTAGATCAGACATGTTTTGATCTTCTAGATTTATTATGTATGCTTATAACTGATCCTTGATCCCATCTTATGGATTATATATTCTATTTTCATCCCAACCCCCCGTCCCCTTCCCTCCTCCCTCCCCAGGCAATTACGCATACTATTATTAATCCGTATATCCCTATGCAGTGTTCATAAATATATGCGTTGATTGATTGATAATTAGGTTAATATATTACGCACAGCAGGAGGTTGGAAGGATTTCAGAAAAATGTTAAATGTAAATTTTAATAATTTTACAATAGTGCGATACCAATTTTTTTTGGCTAATCTCACAGAGAAGATCTGTCATTCTTTACATAAAATAAATTGTCTTGAAGTGGGATACACTTTGTATAAATAAAGGTTAAAAATATTAAAATACAGAAAAAGGGAAATAGATAAGATAGGAAATGCGCAATAATTAGTCAGTGCACAATTTACCACACAATTCCCTTTTTGTTTTTTATTTATTTTGAGTCAATCGTTCTGAATCTGTAGGTTTGACAATTGTCTAGATTTTTATTTTGATTTTATTCAAGTTTAATTCTAAGTATTGTTGTCAGATGAAACAAAGAACTTATTGACTATTGTGCCTCTGTTGGACTTTATGAAAAATAATGATTTCCTGAAATATTAAATTTATTTATTAATATATTTATTCTCTTCATTTCTTTTTTAATAATTTTTTTTGTCCCGCTAATTAGCTCAAATTTTATTTATCTTAATTTTTTTAGGAATTAATTTTTCCATTTAAAATTTGGTGGTTTTGTCTCCTAGTAAACAACGCAATTGTAGTATTTTATTAAATTCATGATCTATTGTAAATCATGATAAGGTTAATTTTCGTATCTTTATCATGGGAAAAATAAGAAGCATTAAAAAATATGAATACATAAAAATTAAGTAAATATTAAAAATATTACAGTAAAGTACTATATAAAGAGTTGATAAGGATTGAGTTTTCTCCTCCTGGTACTAGAGATAGGAATAGTTCACTCCCAGAGTTAGAATCTTCTAGTTTACCAAAGATCAGAGGATTCTTTAAATCTTTCTGATCAGTTCCAGATCTTATACATTCAGCCTTATCACTGGATACAATCACAATATCTTTCTTGAATATTCTTGAGAAAGCTCTAAGAAAATATTCATTTGTCTGAATGTTGTCTGCCTGGAATTGTTTCACCAGCTCAGGAGTGTGTTCATCCCCAATATGAAGGAAGTTAGCTGCAGTACCATTACTAATCTGAATATCCATTTGTTTACAAATATACCAGTAAAGGAAGGAATGATCATCCTTATCCCAGACCTTGAAATCCTGACCTGGAGAATGCATCTGATCCAGGAGGGCAACTAGACAGGAGTCTTTGCATTTACCTTCTTCTGTTCTTGAGATCTGAAGACCATATTCCTGAACCTTCATTGATAAACTGGATTTTAAGTTGATCAAATCTTCTGTATTTATGGACTGTGGTGACTTTGTTGGGCCAACGAGGGAAGCTGCTTCAGGAGCGCTTATGCTGCTTTGACAAGTAGGGGTTCCATCCACTTGACACATTTCAACTCCAGACCATCGGAAGCTTGCGGTTGATTTACGTCGACTGTACTTCTTTTGACGCATAATAACCTTCTCGGTTCTGTCTTCATTATTTTTGTCAATAACCATATTGTTTTCATTTAACATTTGTCCATTTTTAACACCTTGTTCGGTTTCAGAGATTACTGACTGATTATCTACTGTCAGCTGCCTGACAACATCATCATTATTCGCTACATCAACGGAAATAGCTTTCTTTTCAGTTTCTTCACACACATTTTCAGAAATAATTTCACTTGGACTAATCCTTTTGTTTTCTTGAAATTCAGACGTTGACCCAAGTTCAAAAGAATTGTTCTGAACTTTTTCATTCTTTTCGTTATCATTAACTGCTTCAAATATCTCAAGGTTTTTATGCTTGGCAAGTGTTGTAGTTAGGTTGGAATCTGAAGTATTTTCTACAACTTCAGGGCTTAATTCTAAATCTAAACAATGTTGAGCTTCGCTGGTGTTCTGTTGTTCCTCTGCAATAATACAATTAGGATGATCAACATATTTATTGTTTAATTGGGTTTCTTCATGTAAAGATAAATCTTTAACCTGTTCAGTAAATGACTCCGTTCCTCCTCTTGTCTCTGATGCTGTGATTTTGATTTTTCTTTTTATAATCATATTTTCAGCTTTAGGTGTTGGGTTACAATTTGATTCTAAAATCATATCCTCTAAGATATGATTTCCATTGCTGAGCTTTTCTTGGTTCCAGGATTGGTCCTGTGTCAGTGTAGATTGAGAAAAGTTATCGCAATCAGCAAGATCATCTTTAGAGTTATTTAGTGTATCTGCTGTCTCAAGTGTGTTCTCAATGTTAGAACTGTTTGTATTGTAATCATCAATGATTTTTTGATTTTTAAACTCTGATACTTTATCAATATAGCTACTGTTTTCAATACCATATGTGTCTGTCAAATTCCTATTATTTTCTATGTCAGTTGTATTTGTAACTGCATCCGGTTGGGATTCATCTTCACTATCATCACACTGATCAAGTTTATCAAACAGATTTTCTAAGTTTTCATCTTTAACAATTTCATTAATCATACTCTCAAGATCTTTAGATACACTTCCAGAATAGGAATCCATCCTTTTCCAACCTCTTGGCTGACGTTTTTCTTTCTTCTCTTCTTTGCTCTGATAGATCGATACTTTTCTATCTGAAGCCTCTCCATATACAAAGTTAGAATTGCAATTTTCTTTTGGTAGAATGCTGTAGTACTGGGGAGGAATTTCATGCTCTGTTTCTATGCAGCCCATGTATAGGGGAGCTCCTTTACCTTTAGTAGAACCTGGGCCTCCATACAGAACCCTTACTTCTTCATCTTCAACTGCTGGAACTATTATTATGTCTTTGTTGAATATAACAGCAGCAGCACTTAGAAATATATCATCTAATGGAACATAATCCTCTGAAATATGCTCAACATAATCCATTGGATCCCCTTTGATCATTTTTATAAAAGGTAATTGGGTATTCTTAGTTATATGAGTTTCCATTTGTTTTGTCACATACCATCTGAGGAAAGAGTAATCATCCCGCTCCCAAACTTTGAAATCTTGATCATCTCGGTTCATTTGGTCCAGCAGAGACATGAGACAACTGTCTCCATTATCAAAATTAAAGTCTTGTACTCCAGATGAAAGTGAGAACCCTAAATGCTCTAATCTTGAATATAATTGTAATTTAAGTGAAGACACAAGCTCTGACTTTTCCAACTGAAGTCTTTCAAGTTCTTTCTCCTGCTTCTGTTTATCTAATTCCTTTTCTCTGTCTTTTATGAGCTGTGCTTGCAGCTTTTCATTTTCTATTTTTGCCCACTCTGCCAGGGAATCTTTCCTTGCTTTCACAGCAGGTACAGTATTTGCACTTTGACAAGTGTCAACATTATCTTGCAGCTGAGCACTGTTGCTGTGCATCTGCATACTTTCAGTACTATCAGGGTCATTCAACTCTAGTGCTAAACTTTTACCTGTTTCCTGACTATTTTCACATTTTTCTTCACAATCTCTAGGAGATTTAATGCCAGATTCTTGAATGTTGTCGGGAGAATGACAAGGGTCGGTATTCAGGTTTCCTATCTCTAAACTGTCACCAGGCAAAGGTTTATTAACATTGCTCTCAGACACTTGTTCATTATCTAAATATCTAGTTTTAGTCAGACTGTTTTCCTCAAATGAAATGTTGGCCATGTTTAAAGTTGAACAGTTTTCATTCACGCCTGAGTTATCCCTGTTCAAATTTTCCTCATTACTAGTGAATTGTGGGATATTAATGTCAGGAGAAATAACACTCTCAGTAATACCTTCTGCAATATTGGAATGATTTTCAACTTGTTTATGCTGACTATCACACAAATCTTCTTTATGTGCCCATTCATCTTTGACTTCCAGGGGCATGTTCTTATATTCATCATAGTTCTTAGTAGTACCTTCATCTTCATTATTAATGCTTACATGTTTGGATAATATCTCTTCTTCAGTGTAAGTTTCATGATCTATACCAATTGACGTTTGTTTTGTGAAACTCTCAATGGGGTGGCAAGTTTCATTTTGTTGACATGTGATTTGGTCACAGGTGTTAGAATTGTTATTGGTGAATTCTTTTTGAAAGGTTTTGTATTCTACTGCAGTTGATATATCATTTGAAAATGGTTCACTGCTATAGTTGTTATCTTCAGTTTGTAATGGTTTCATATCATAATTAACATTAGCTTCAGGTATAAAACTTTCATCAGTAATTTTGTTGTTTTCATAATCATGATCATCACATGTCAGCGCATCAGCAATTTCATTATTGTTACCATGATCTTGGTCATCAGTTCTCACCGCATCAGTAATTGTATTATTTTTTTCAAAATCATGATCATCACTTTCCAATTTATTTTCAGCTGAAATAAGTTCATCTTCAACATCTTCAACATGAGTGCTCTCATGTTTCAGGTTATCATGATCAGAAGAATTTTCCCCTTCAGAATATTCTGTCCAATCATAATCTTCCTCAGATCCAATATTAGATTCTTCTTCAATCTTCAACCCTGAGTCTTTATCCTCATCCTTAGCATCAATTTTTGGATCTGGTAGCTTATCATTAATCACCTCTTCAATATCATCATCTAGCTCCTTCTGAAACAGTCATTAGTATTATAAATACAAGCAAGTATAAATAAGATTTGATAAACAGGATGGATCTAAAAATTGGTTTCTCGTCTTATTTTAATATTTTCATTTTTGCAAACTAATGTCGTAGCTCTTTGATCTATTTTGATTATAAATTCTGCAAAATTAAGGAGCAAGTCATAGTTTCAAGTTTGGTATTTTCCCAAAGAGATTTTCCCAAATGCGACTTCCCAAGTGACAACTTCCCAAATGTGCATTTTCCTAAGTGGCATCTTCCCAAAGGTTAGGTTAGACCTTCTGAGGCGCCATAGGTTGCAATTGGGACTGAGCGCTGTGGTGAAAATGGGCTAGGGAGCCGAGTGCTGTGGCTAGAACATGCTAGGGGACCAATCGCTGCAGCTAGGAAAGATTTGGGAATTTGTCGCTTCGGAAATTGCATATTTGGTAAGTTTCAATTTTGGAAAACACCCTTGGGAAGTTACCGCTTGGGAAAATACCCTTGGGAAGTTGACGCTTTGGAAGGTGCCTTAGAGAAAGTAACTAATATCCTAAATTATACACCTACAGGTTGTAAAGATGTAATGATTAAAGATTGTGTAGACCATTTAATCTGTTTCATCAAAAGATATAATTTCATTATTAAAGAAAACAGAGGGCTTTTAGTTTTACATCTTATACTTCACTGGGCATGGAGTCGATCAACGAAGTAGAACCTGTTACGGTTACAATTGAAAATGATGAAATATCCATAAATAGGAGCTAACTTTAATCTTTTTGATCCACCATAATAGAATCTCAAAAATATTTTCTGTATAAAATTTATTTCAAGCTACAAGTGTTCCCCATATTTATCTAAATGACAAGTCGATTCCTAAAATATATTTCTCACTTTGGAATATTGAAAGCTGTTCCAATATTTAAAAGTTAAATATTTTCTATTTATCTTATCTACTTTCTTTTATATAAACTTCAACATATGTATAGTGTGTATACAGAATATATCTTCAGTATTCCTACCTCTTCTTCTTTAATCTGTTCTAAAGCTTTCTTCCTTCCAGGTGGACCTTCAATTTCAACTTTAGAAATCGATTCAAATACTCCGGACTCATTTCTCAGGCGCAGTTTATACACACCATCATGTGATTCCTCTAATGCCTTAAAAATTTCCATTTACATTTACATATAGAATTTCTAAGAGATATAGAATTTACCTTAGGTATACTTAGCACTGCATTTTTCAAGCTATAAACTGAGGCATTCTTTGTATATATACTGATAGATGTTAGATCATCATTTACTAGCTTTGTATCATTTCTAAACCATTCAATTGTTGGAGGTGGTTCTCCAGCTACCCAAACATCAAACCTAATTGATCTTCCTTCCTTCAATCTTAGATCTTCTAGTCCTCCACCCTGCAATAGATCAAATATTGCCATTTCTTGAGGAGCTTTCTGGAGTTGGGGGAGGGGATTTTTAAATAAAAACAACAAATGAAGAAAATAACATGAATTTATTTCTGAATCAGATTCTCAATTCTAGAATTTCACAATAGTTATCCATATAGGCGTATCAGGTTATTTTAGATATATTTCTATACCAATAACAAAACACCCCCCCCCCTCATTTTAAAACACCCTGCGTCTCTGGTTTTCTATAGATAAATTTATTTAGAATGTATTCCTTTAAGTTTAGATTGGAAGTAACTTCGAAATATATACTATTTCGCCAAGAAATGAAATTGAAAAGTGTTGTGTATCATCTCTCCGGGGATCTGATTTACCTTGATTGAAGGAGGAATATGTTTATGCATTGCAATAACAGGAGCTGAGGCTGGGCTGGGTCTACTCTGTCCACCTCGGTTTATTGCGATCACACGAAACCGATATTCATATTCTTCGGTTAGGTTCTCACACCGACCCCTAGATATTAATATTTATAAATAAGGTTCTCACACCGACCCCTTGATATTAATATTTATAAGTAAGGTTCTCACACCGACCCCTAGATATTCATATTCATAAGTAAGGTTCTCACACTGATCCCTAGATATTCATATTCATAAGTAAGGTTTTCACACCGACCCCTAGATATTCATATTCATAAGTAAGGTTTTCACACCGACCCCTAAAGATATCTAGATTTTTCATCTGAAAATTGGTTATTTTATTTACTGGTACTCTTACAGAATAAATTGCAGATTTATGCTACACAGACTAGAAATATTAAAGGGTATCCATGTGAATCAAACATGCTACTCTTTTTTTTTTGTTAAAGAGTTTCACTTGAAATTAAGTCTGCAGTCCCTTTAAACGAGATTTATTTCCCCACTAATAAACTTATTTCCGACAAAGTTCGAAAGTTGATTTAAAGAACAATCTCTTTAATTAGAATCTTACCGGACTTCAGTTCCAGAAGTTTCTATTTCTTGAATTGGTATTTCAGCCGCATCCAACCAATCTCTCATACTACGCTCTAAATTTTAATTGCTTGAAAATGTGAACATAAAGATATTATTATCATTTTAAAATCGTAAATAAATCATTTAAGAATTAAGTATTGATTAAAGTTTAAACACTTTTAATACGAGGTGTGCTTTACGATATGTTAAATTTTGAGAGGTTGTCAGAGCATATTATGTGTTTGTTTTGTTTTCCAAGTTTTTCTTACTAAAATTGAAACGGTACTACACTTTATTTTGGAGACTACTGTAATCCTAGTTAACATGTCATAAATTAAGAATTTAAAATCTTAGTTTCACATAATACACTTATCAAAAAAGAATTATTTCAAATGAGTAAATATTAAGATATTAGGTAAGTTATTCTCTAAGAGATAGCAAGGTGTAAATAAATAATTTGACAAGAAATATAAAAAGAGTAAAACAAGGCAAACAAAGAAACAAGTTCTTACATCACATAAGAATACGCAAGAAATATAAATACAAAACTATCGTGCGGAATGAAATGTTGTAAAAACAAGAGAAAATTAAATAAAAAGTCTACGATCTGACCTTTGAATTGAATAAGATATGAGAGTATTGGAGTTCCTCCGTCCCACGTGGGAGCACTCCAAACCAAATCTGCGAATGTCGGCGTCCAATCCTCTACTGATACACGACCACACTCCCCAGGAACCTCTGCAGTACAGATAAATGTGAAAAAATCAATTTTATAAAATTATGTGACAAAGCCAGAAAAGACAGAAAGACAGAAAAATGTCAGACAGACAAATGAAACTAACATCTTTTTATAACATTTGGATCTGCTTAACAACTTTTTGTTTGTTTGGCCATTAATCGAAATTATTTAACTTTTAACTTACCCCAGGGATCTTTAGTAACTATAGATCCTTTGTATTCTGTTGGTTCAGATTGTCCTATTTTGTTCGCCGCAGATACACGGAAAACATAGCGATGTCCTTCTATCAGGTTCCTTTAATACAGATAACTTTAATATCAGGTTCCTACAATACAGATAACTTTAATATCAGGTTCCTTTAATACAGATAACTTTAATATCAGGTTCCTGCAATACAGATAACTTTAATATCAGGTTCCTTTAATACAGATAACTTTAATATCAGGTTCCTACAATACAGATAACTTTAATATCAGGTTACTACCATACAGATAACTTTAATAGCAGATTCTTACAGTACAGATGAAATTCATATCAGGTTTCTACAATACAGACTTCAATATCAGGTTACAATAATGTACAAAAAGTTAAATTTTTAATGTGTTGTTATGTTTGACAATAAATAATACGTAGACGCGTAAGAGATATTGAAGAAAACGTCAGCGTCGAATATTGTTAAATATTCTATTTAATATTTAGTTCTCAATTGGAAGTTCTTTAAATGTTAATATTTCAAAAGATCGCATTTATGTACAAGACTGAAAAGAGTGCGTGTACATGACTAGGGAAAGTACGTGCATGTACCAGATATGAAAAAGTGCATGTAAAAAGACTAGGACAAGTTCATATACTTGGCTAGAATAAGTACATGAACATGACTAGACAGAGTAAAAAATACAGGGTGTCCAAAAAAACAAGGGAATTAAATGATGGCTTCTATATCGTCGACTTTTTTCCAAACCGGATTATTTCGTAAATATAATTTTGTAGTATCAGAGTTCAAACATTTAATACCGAAAACTAGTAGTCTTGGGATTTCTAAAATGTGGTCTACCATTTTTCACCTTTAAAATTGACGGAGATAAATTAGGAATTTGTCCAGATTCTAGTTAACTAAAAATAAACAAAACTGTTCAAATGTTTAATATCTCCGCCAATCTATAAGATTTTACAAAGAGGGTAGACCACATTTTGGAAAACTCATTAGACGTTCAATCTTATTTTGATGTACTTTTTTCATTTTCAATTATCAGAAATCAAAGACGATATTCAAGTTATCTCTCAATTCCCATGTTTATTATTACACCCTGTACATAAATAGAAAATGTACATGTATAACCCTCAAAATATTACACTTTTTAAGACTAGTAAAAGTGCGTGTACAAGATTAGAAGGTGTACATGTAAAATCTTAATAAATCATTATTTATTATTTATTTATTATTTATTTATTTGAAGAATAATGCTACTGAGTTAAAAGATGAACATTTTACATGTCTTTAAGTATACGATCTACATCTTTCTAGTTCTCCCTTTCTTCTCCGATCTAGTTTAAAAGTAGTAACTATATCTTCCTCCACCCTGTACAGTATAGTGTATACTGTAACTTTACCTGACGACGAACTCCCTCTGATCTCCTGACTCTGACATGGCAACGGTAGACCAGATGTTGCTGGTAGTGAAGTCCAAGGACTCCACGATGTAGTGCTTTATACTGCACCCACCGTCATCCGCAGGAGGAGTCCTATTTTTAGAATATTTGTTCAATTGAAATATCTTTAAATGAAAGTGTTTAATGAGGAAACAAGAACAATTTACTTTATTTCCCGGGTAAAAGTATTCTGCTATGTGAACTGCATTAAAGCGTCGAATTCTAGATATTTTTTTGCAATTTTAATCCCAAACTATTTCAAGATAAATAACTTAGCAATTCTCTATCTAGCACTGGGCACATGTTTAGCTTAAATGGGACTACAATAGTATTTAATGTTTAGACGTAATTATAAAGAGTGGAATATCCGATTCAAAACGATATCCGTAAAACCATTTGATCAAGAGTAAACGAATTATCCTAAATTTACTGGCTGAAATTTTTTAAAGTTTATGATTTGAGTAAAAAATGAACAGAATTTAACACATTTTATGTATTAAACATCAATATCCTTCTCATGCTTGAAAATCGGACATGCCATTGGCCCATTCTCATAAAATACAAATTATATTTACTGTTCCTTTGTGTCGGCGCAGAGCTAAAATGTATTTTTATAACGCTGCCTATCTCTATTTGACCATTTTCAAATGATTTGCAGAATGTTTGTTTTAAATAAATTGTCGAACCGCGAAAGCAAGCAAACAAGAAAAGTGTATTCCGTCGTCTACATAAATTTTAGATTTTTTTCATTATTGAAACATAATTGGAATGTTTACGGGGTTACATGTTAGTTTTTCTTAAAAACAAATGCAATGTTTTAGAAACAAAAAATTCATAATTCCCAGTTTTTGGGATTGTCAGTGTTACAGCTTTTTTACTGTTCCAATGAATGTGATACATAAAAACAATGGCAATATTGTGACTAATTGTGTTTTTTTTTTTAAATAAAAAAGTGTCTATATAGTTATAGCCTTAACAGTCTCTTCAACACTGAACATGATGGGGGGTCTAATCAAGGCCTAGAGTAAGGGGTGGGAAGGTGCAAAATATGTTCATATCCCAATTTTTCAAGGCCAGCTCATCCTCCATAAATACTAGATAGAGATACGACTTGGTGACACATCAGCTTTTCTGATTTTGATTTTAAGCACAAGTATCTTTATAAAGCACATATCTCTACATTGAGAAAAGTTCTGATTACAAACATATCAAATGTTAATATGTTCTCACCATTGAACAGTAACTGAATCCTTGAATACTTGAGATAAAGTGCAGGATACTGGAGAGGAAGGTATATCCAGTACTAGAACAGGAACCTGGATACTAGCTGAACCTTCATCATTCGACATAGTTACCTGAACAACATAAATCAAATATGTTTACATTTTTTCTGTTTTTAAACACTGATAATGATACATGAAAGGTTGAAAGTCTAAAAAATATACCTTATACAGGCCTGAGTTACTGCGCTGTGGGTTTATAACATCTATCTGTATTTTATCGGTCTAAATAAAATTTCACTTTAAAAAAAATATTGCTTTTTGGGTTTTTCTCAGTTCTCACTTTGAAAGTTGAGAAAACCTACTGTGGAACCCATTAAATTGTGAAATGAGAATACAAGCTTAAAAAAAACTTTAAATCATTACTCATTAAGAGACAGACCGGCTATGTATGCAGTGTTGTGGACAAATTCTTTAGGATTCATTTGAGACATAAAAACTTTTTAAAGATCTGTAAATCCTGAGTTTGAGCGCAAAGTCGGCGTTCAAAATCGTACTTTGGGTGGATACGTTTTCAGAATTGTTTTTTTTAAATTATTAACAAAATTCTACAGTAAACTAATTAGTTGTTTAGGAACAGGTAGGAAAATAAAAATTAATCTTATGATCGAAAATAAGTAATCTTATTTAATTATTAGTTTTTATATTCTCTCAATTATTCACAAAGATTTTTTGCAGATTTTCTGGAATTTTTATTGAAAAGACGACATTTGAAGAATTTGTAGAAATCTGCAAATAAATTCACAGAAAATAAGAAATTCAATAAAATGATAAAAACAAAACAATTGATTCTAGCATTGATTTATTGCAACATACTTCTTTTCATTACTGTATTATTTTTACTTTATTTTTCGTAGTCCTTATTTAATAATTTTAGAAAAACCGATTCTGAAAACGTACCCACCAAAATTCATAATTTTGAACGTCGACTATGCACTCAAACTCAGTAATTATACATCGTGGAAACGTTTTATATGTCTCAAATGAATCCTAAAGAATTTGTCCACAACATTGTAAAATTAGTTTAACTACCTTACATAGCCGGTCTGTTACTTGTTACTCTTGTCTTGTTAGTTGTTACTCAATAGGAACAATATAAAAACCAAAAATGCAATCATTATCTCAAAAAATAATATTTACAACTTATGTTTACAACGCGAAATCCCCTGAAGACTAAAAAGTCTTGTCAGAATTTAGTTTACCTTCAAGTTAATGCAACAAACAATGAAAAAATGTCAAAAACAACAAAATTTAAACAATGACGTGAAACGTACGTATTGCAAGTTTGCAATATAACACATATTAAAAAATTATTAAAAAATAATTATAAGCTATGTATTATTTGAATGCCGTTAATTACTCCATAAAGATACAAAAAATTGGTGAAAGATGGCGCGTAATTTGTCGTTTACTCTTTTTGTATTTAAACTCAAAAGAGCAATTAATTAGAACTATTGAATGTCAGGAGCTGATAAAAATTCTATTGTCGTTTTAAAATAAGTTTAAATTTGTTAAAAAGTTTTTAAAAGTTTTAAAGTTTAAAAACAGTTTTTAAAAATTAAAAAAGATACTTTTGTAAAATGTTCTTGGCACCAACAAATTTCAAATTGGGTGAATTCAAATTACACTGAACATTACTGAAAGAGACTGTGGACTTAATCTAGTTATAAAGTGGCATATCCGATCCCAACAGAACCCTTTAAACCGCAGTCTGATCAAGAACTAATGCAAAAAAGTGGAAATCATCAGAATTTACCATTTTAACAGCACTGAAAAACGGCGATGTTCTAACTATATTAATCAGATGAAGGTTTAAAGGGATGTACAGCTGTCAACATGTAATGCACCTCTTTAACTGGCATTTAAAATTACAACAACATTCCCTTTAAGCATGAAGAAGATAAAATCTTACCATTACTCTCATCTGAATTTCATTTCCAACTTCTAGTTCATGTCCATCCTTCTCCACTAGAATATCAACCGTAGAGAGACGAGCACCTTCGATCTTGTACGGGATTATAATCCTAGAATATAGAGAAATTATAATCATAGAATATAAAGGGATTATAATCCTAGAATATAAAGGAATTATAATCCTGGAATATAAAGGGATTATGATCCTAGAATATAAAGGGATTATAATCCTAGAATATAAAGGGATTATTATCCTAGAATATAAAGGGATTATTATCCTGGAATATAAAGGAATTATAATCCTATAATATAAAGGGATTATAATAATCCAAGAATACAAGGGGATCATAATCCTAAAGTATAACGGGATTATAATCCTTAAATATAACGGGATTATAGGCCTAGAATAGAAGGGGATTATAATCCTAGAATATTGCAAAGTTAAACAAACCCCTGCGTGAGAAGTTAGTGTTTCGAAATGTACAGGGTTATCCACTAAGGATAAGACTCAAAACTCAACTGTACGAAATCTATACTGCCTGTTTACGTAAACTGATGATTCCCTTCAAGTGTAAACTGCTTTATTTCTTTGTCGAATCATTAAATAAGCCAATAGAAGATAATTATCAAAGCAGAAGATAATAAATTAAGCTTGAAATGAACTCTTTGCGGTACGAACTTTTGTGTTTAGTATCTTTAATCAGAGCTGAAAACTTTAGAATGGTGGATATCAGGATTAAGGCTTAATCTACTCTTTTTCTTAATCTCGAGATTAAATATTGCTTGGAAAACTCATGACTTTAATCTTCAGAGCTGGAAACTTTAGAATGGTGGATATCGGGATTAATGCTTAATCCGCTGTTTTTCTTAATCTCCTAGATTAAATATTGCTTGTTCTCCTCGTGAATTTAATCTCCAGATTAATTAACAGATCGGGATTAAGGATATCACATTCTAAAGTTTTCAGCTCAGATTAATTATTCGACGGGATATCTGGATATTTCATTCTAAAGTTTTCAGCTCTGGAATACTTGATTTCGATATCCAACTTTAAGTTTAAGGATATATGCTTGATCCTTTAGAGTTTAATCCACATGGGATATCAAAGAGGAATTAAATTAATACATAAATGTCGTATTTTCTCTATATACGATTTGATTTTTAATCTAGGATAAAATTACAGCGTGGCAATATAGAAATATTGTGACTGTGTTATTAAAAAAATAGCTTTGGATTCAAAATATTTAGATACTCATTTCATGAAATATATTTGAAGGATATGAAATATAAAAAAAATTTAGTTCGTTAGTGCTAATCCTCGTCCAAAAGAATACATATTTACTGTTTAAATATAAAAAATACAAAATAAATCAAGATATTTGAAACATGGGTGTACACATAATACACATAGTACATTTATATTGTTTGGTGTACATTATACATTTACGTTAAATATAATGCACATATTATACATATAAATTTTTTAATGTACAATATACATTTACGTTAAATATAATAAACATATAGTGCATATACATTGTTTAATGTACATATAGTACATTTACGTTAAATATAAGGCACATATTTTACATTTACATTGTTTAATGTACATTATACATTTACGTTAAACATAATGAACATACGGTGCATTTACATTGTTTAATGTGCATTGTACATTTACGTTAAGTATAATGTACAATAGAGTACATTTACATTGTTTCAATGTAAATATTGTACATTTACGTTAGATATCATGTATATTGTACATTTACGTTAATTATAATGTACATTGTCCATTTACGTTAAACATAATGCACATTGTCCATTTACGTTAAATATAAGTTACATATTGTACATTTACATTGTTTCAAGAATGTTGCGTGTAAAAATTCTGTAATATTACGTGGTACACCCTGTACTAGCTTAAATCTGTAATATTACGTGGTACACCCTGTACTACCTGAAATATGTAATGTAACGTGGTACACCCTGTACTACCTGAAATCTGTAATATTACGTGGTACACCCTGTACTACCTGAAATATGTAATGTAACGTGGTACACCCTGTACTACCTGAAATATGTAATGTAACGTGGTACACACTGTACTACCTGAAATCTGTAATATTACGTGGTACACCCTGTACTACCTGAAATATGCAATGTAACGTGGTACACCCTGTACTACCTGAAATATGTAATATTACGTGGTACACCCTGTACTACCTGAAATATGTAATATTACGTGGTACACCCTGTACTATCTGAAATATGTAATATTACGTGGTACACCCTGTACTACCTGAAACCTGTAATGTAACGTGGTACACCCTGTACTACCTGAATTCTATAATGTTTTGTGGTAAACCCAGTACTCTAGCTGAATTCTGGCATGCTTTTTGGTACACTCTGTAGTCTACCAAATTTTGGCATATTTTATGGGACACCCTGTACTACCTGCATTGTTCCTTTTGAATATAAGAATTCATCCTGTCACTAAAACTGTGAAGGATCGCCACACATGTCACTGGGTCTGCGGGACCTATAGCAATCAATAAAGGATTAGAAATTAAACCTAACAATCTATAGAGGTTTAGAAGTTAAACCTATCGATCAAATAAGGTTTAGATTAATAATATAAAAATAAATAGAGGTTTAGAAATTAAACCTATCGAACAAATAGGTTTAGAATAGAAATAATAAAACGTTCAACCAAGGTTTAGAGTGTAAATAAACCTTAAACTTTTAAATACAATGGGATTAGAAATTACACCTTTTAACTATATAGGTTTAGATTGTAATTATAGCAATTAATACAAGTCTAAAATTTAAACCTATTAATTAAATTGGTTTATGTAAAACATTGATGACAACTTATTTTAACATTTTTATTTGACTACTTCAGACTACAATTAGTGAAATTTACAAAAATGTTGCAGTTGCAAATAAATTTCATTTCGCAAATAATTTAGTTAAATCAACGGCCTTGCATTGGGTAAACCCCAAACTTTCCGAGAACTAACTGCTAACTGCTAATCAGACAAAAATAAATCCGATTTTGTATAACAGCAAGCAAAAAAACACACACACAAGGAATCCATTTTTTTCTGGCAAGAATAATATGATTAGTTTGAAAACAAGTTTAGTCGTGGTTATAGTTCAAAAGTTTGGATGATTTATATATTTCCAGAAGTACAAGGGCAAATTTACTTTACATACTTATTAGTTGTAAACCAACAAAGAAAATATGTTCCTGCGACTTATCAATTAATGTTAAGAAATACAGTTGATTACAAACTGTGTCAAAATATTAAAATAAAATTCTTAATTAATTAATTATTATTTAAAACTTCTTACACTTCAAATCTGTCATTGAAAACTCTTTTAAAGTACAGACACAACTAGTAGGTGCAGAGGCAGCTAGATCTAGTTGTGTACAGTACAACTAGTAGGAGCAGAGGCAGCTAGATCTAGTTGTGTACAGTACAACTAGTAGGTGCAGAGGCAGCTAGATCTAGTTGTGTACAGTACAACTAGTAGGCAGAGGCAGCTAGATCTAGTTGTGTACAGTACAACTAGTAGGTGCAGAGGCAGCTAGATCTAGTTGTGTACAGTTTACAACCAAATATATGGAAAAAAATGGGAGAGTTCACCAAAAGAATGAAGCCCTTGTAGGGATTTTAATGTGGTAATATCAATCTAAACTTTATACCCCATGGACCAGAAATGTTTGAGCTTGTTTTAACCAAATAGATTATTATGTACAATAGATGGCAACCTAGTATTTGTACACTCTCAGTACAGTTGTTTTCTTACGTCACATGTGTCAACTCAGTATTGTGTCCGACAAAAATATTAATAATAGTGATAATTTTAGAATAAAGAGCTTATCTTACAGTGGAAAAGATGAAATTTTATGTGTTATTTATTTTCTGTTTTTACACTTTTTTACTTACTCTTGAAAAACATGTCAAATAATGTGAGAAAATTTCTTTTTCCTTGTTATATTTGACACTTGTGACGTCGGTGTACAATTGATCCATTTCCCTATTGTACTTGGTTTTACCTAATATGGGAGCAGATTCACAAGGTGATACATTAAAGATACATTTACATTGCAGCATCTCTTCCCCCCGGTTACTTGGTGTCTAAAATATAAACATTGCAACATCCCAAATTTAAAAGTTGCAAATTCATTTTTACCTTGGCACACAGCAGTCCGGCGTCTTCTAACCTCACCTAAAACATTTATTCTTTAAAATAAAAAAAAATGTTTATATCATTTATTTTGAAAAATGTTAGTTTGAAACCATTTAGGAAACGTATATTGGCAATAAAAAGTTCCAGACTGTACTAAAGAATACTTTACCATAAATCTAAGAATGAGAATGTATATACATTGTATGCATGAAACCAGATGATATGAAAACATTATCAAGGTAAACGAAACTTTTTAAAAATTTCAAAGTCATAAAAAGTTTTTTTTCATCCATTAAAATATTTGAGAATGCAGATGGAAACTAATGAATAGACAAAAATAATCTAAATTGATTCAGATAAGTTGAATATGTTCTCTTTTAAAACATTTGTCAATAAAGTTCAATAAGAATTGGTCTGCTTAGAACCGAAATAAACATAGATCTCTTCATTTAAGAAGAACAATATTTTATTTTGAATCTTTATAAATAATCAAAAGAATTTCCTTAACGAATTTACAAGCTTTTTTCAGAAAAAAAAGTAAATTTTATTTAGTTGAAAACCCTTCCCCAATAATTTTAAACATTTGATTTGTGATGTTCGTTTTAATTTAAAAAACTACTGAAGCGTGATGTAAAAATTCCACTGCGCTGAATCTATGGTATGTGAACTTTTAAACTTTCTTTTTAATAGAATATATGTAAGAAACTCATGGGAAGCGAGAAAATGTTGATTACTAAAAAATGTGGAAATCCACCATTAAAATCAGAGTTTTAATGAAGATTGATCAAGTTGTTGACCTGTGTACGAATAGTTGAACCACTTTATGAGAGTGGACATGCGTGCACTCAAAAAAATATTTATCCCTGCTCAACTGAATCCTGAAAGTGTTATACCTTTAAAAACCTAATTAGATGTTGCCCTAGTCCATTGTTTTCTATTTCTATCCGTCCGTCCTCTTCTTCCAACAGCATCCTGGAGAACACAGGCTTTAGGGTCGATCAAAACTTCACTATTTTGTGTCAACAACAAAATTTTAATTTGTCAAAAATTTTAAATATTATTATTTTTTTGCCTTGAAAAGAGTATTCAAGAGCGTAAGGAAGTGATTCTTTGCCACAAACTCAAATATTCTAATCATTAAATCTAAATCTTTGCAACCTAATGGTTTAAACCTTTGATATTTCAAACTATAAATATTTGATCTAACAGAAGTCAAAGTTTGAAATGTATAAGGTCTACGACATTGGGATGCAAAAAAATTAAATCATTCGCAAATTTGAATTTGTGGAAAAACTCAATTATTTTCTTTAGAGAAACACGAGGAGAAGCACCCGCCTTGTAATATTTCCAAATTATAATTGATTTTCTATGGAAAGAGTGTCCATGTTTTCTATCCTATCTAGCGGTGTTTGTTCTGTTAATATATACAAACTATACCTGTCAATATAGAATGATACTGGAGCATATATATCTCGGACTTGAACATACAGCTCAGCCTAAAGAAAATTAGATTATAGATATTGTCTTATTATAGGGTTTCCTATTATTTATGTACTATAGATATATATTAAGCTAAACACTTGTGTAAAATTAAGCTTGTCCCATGAAATATCCCATGCACTTAATTTTAAATAACCCATTATTTGTTAAACTGCCAGTTCACAATGGTACCTATTCAGAAAGATAATTTTGTTTTCTATCATGAAAAGAGATGACTATGTGAAAAGAGATGACTATGTATATCCACAAGTCGCTCTTCAAGAGCTTACTCTATCCCCGTAGTAAATTTGAATTCGAACAGGACCTGTCCAGTTTGTACCGGCCTTCCAGATAACAGCGTGTACTGACCCGATCCTATGGTACAGTACGTCGCCCTAACCAGACTAACATACAACAGTGGTCAATTTTCATGTCATAGTATAGTCCAGCGCGAGGGCTAACTATGACAACTCCCATGGCGCGTTCAGACTTTTTACAGTACCCGGCCCAATCCTAGGCCTATTTGACCGACCCCACTGGCTTAGTCCACCGTTAGAGAAACCGAAATTGAAAATTAAAATATCTTCAAACAAATATTTGAAGGGTACCGTTGTGAATCCGGCATGTAACTCGTTTGGACGGTCGTTTGGAATACCGTGTCAGCAGTCCCAGAAATAAATCAAAAAAACAGGTTTAAATTAAATAATATATTTACACAGAATAGACAGATGGGACACAAAATGATTTAGTTTTGAAGCTTTTATCATTATCTAAAAAATTATTTTTTATTTATAATAAAAAAACATCGATTCAGTTTTTTACCTTTGAGTTTTCCGAAAAGTTTACAGATTCCTCTAAACGTTTAGTAAACTCATTCTGACCTAAAATAGATATCATTTCACGAATGTTTAGAGATATTCTTTAACGCTATTTACGAATAATTTGGCTATATCTGATGAATTTTCGAGATTCGATGTTTCTATAAACTCTTAACCTGATCGTTTGGTCTCGATATCCATTGTGGGCCCTATTAATTTGAGTATCTATAAAAAAACTATATTTTCCATATTTTCCTTTTAGTTATTCCTCCCCTGATCAAAGCCCCCTGACTGGGTACGATCACCATGCGGGAAACCGAAAAAAGATTAACTTAATCTGTAGATTAACCAAAGATCGAGATTAAGCATTGATCTCGGTAAGCACAATACAAGAGTTCCCAGCTCTAGTGACACTTGTGTTAGACTGAGAAAATTAGGTTTTTTCTTCTTTTTTAGGTTTTTCTCCCTTAGGAAAACTTCTATGCACTATGCATATCACCTTTTCCTACAATTATCTTCGTTGCAATGTAAAAACGGGACTTTTAAAATTCGGTGATGGTGATGGACTAAACCTCTGTAGAGTAAATAAAGTAGATATATTTCGGTCTGGGTGGACTCTTGTCAGTTCTTGAGATTGTTTCTGCCAGGAAGATTATAGACGTAGTTTAAAGGGATATTCTATTTATAAAGTGGTGTGTTTGATTCAAAACAGTAGCCTTCAAAACTTTAAACTAAAAAGGATGTCGGACTTATTCTTATTAATCTGGAAAACTTAGTTTGCAAGCTGTTTTATATCTAAAAAATAATAATATTTACTTACAAAAGTCACAGAATATAATTATTTCATTCAAATGTTGTGGATTTTTGAAAAATATCTATCGTCAACTGTGTGAAGTTCTCAGTGTACGCTATCGTACACTCCGGTTATCTGATGCTGTTCCTTCCATAAACTACATTGGTCGACAACTTGACGTCTCCTCTATTGGTCGTCAAATGTACGGAGAAATATCTATCTATCAGATAAGAATTTAGCATGAGACATCTAGCGGCCAACATATCGTCCCCCAAAGTACGTGAAATACACGACCACTTTCTATGGAGAGAACGAGCTCTGGTAATTTGAACACTATTTTGACGATGAACACACAGAGTTCTCTGTCGTCCATAATCGGCCACCGGTTCAAAGGACACCATTGTTAATAAGAAATGTCTCTCTTTAAGTTGAGGGTAACTTTAGATAATACATACAGTCCTCTTAAAATCCACAAAATTGTTATTTTGTCTTGCTTAAAAATACGAATTGTCACGCCCAATTAATTGCACTGAAACACGATTAACCGCAATTGAAACGAAACAAGTTTTTCCATAAGTGTTAACATTTTTAATTGGTAGAAAACCGTTGTATATATGTAAGACATTAAGAATAACATTTAATGTGACCTGGCGCGAAAAATGACGTGAAGCATTCCGAATTCCCAGCATAAATGTATACAGAATACAGATTATATGGAAATTGAATATTGGAAACCAATAGACCCAAATTAGGATAAAGTTACTTTATCAAAGAGTTGTATTTTTATATATACAATTTTGTTAACAACCGATTTCATTCATAGGAATGGCTTTGAGAAAGATTTATTTTTTGTAAAGTATAGATTAATGGAAAACTAAGTAATCATCAATATTTTGAAACAAAACATTTTTAGAAGAAAAAAGTTCGTTTAATTTTCTAGGACCCGATTCAACAAATATTGAGAAGTAGTTGATCTTCGTAGACTAAGTTGAACCACTGGATCAACTTAGTCTACCAGGTACCAAATTTTACGATTAATGTGAGGGAAACTTCCTCACTCTTTTACTTTAAATCGATGGTTCAAATTCAACAGTATGTGGTTCAGCGACGTAGCTCAAATTCATAAAATCCGGTCTCTCGTTTACCTATTTCTTGCTATTCATTAAATTTTGTTCCCTGGAAACCAACATTATTCCTTCTTACAGGGAACATGAAGAACGAGTAACCTCATTAAACCATTCGTATTTAATTGTATTGAGTACAAAGCTCTCTATCCACCGCTGTGAGCTACATTTGTCAATTAAACAAACCTTTACACTTATAATTAATGCAGACTTTAGGATTAATGAAAGAGAAAACTTAGTAAAAGAAAGTGAATGTTCGTAAATTTTATATATGATGTAGATAAAAGAAATTGAAGCCTTGCCACAAACTCTTGATTTTCTAATCCCTTTATATTTTCAAACCTATGTCGTAGTCCTTAGATATTATTATTATCGTAGTCCTTAGATATTATAATTATCGTAGTCCTTAGATATTATTATTATCGTAGTCCTTAAATATTATTATTATCGTAGTCCTTAGATATTATTATTATCGTAGTCCTTAGATATTATTATTATCGTAGTCCTTAGATATCATTATTATCGTAGTCCTTAGATATTATTATTATTATTAATCAATCTGTTAGATAAAATTATCTAAGTTTGAAATAGGTTTACACTTTCAGGGATTAGAATATTTAGGTTGTATAAAGCCTTATTACCTTTATATAATTTTAAAGAAAAACTTATGTAAGAGATGAAAAATTGACACAAATTGTAAAGGTTTATATCTTGCTAACAATACAGTCCATGGTGAAATATCAAAGGTTTATATCTTGCTAACAATACAGTTCATGGTGAAATATCAAAGGTTTATATCTTGCTAACAATACAGTTCAAGTGTGAAATATCAAAGGTTTATATCTTTCTAGCAGCAATACAGTCCAAGTGTGAAATATCAAAGGGTTATATCTATGAGAATATGAGAATATGTAAAGTTTTCAAAGAATATCACAACACTTTATTTTTTTTTGAAAGAGGCTATTTTTTATTTCAAACCATAATTTTGCAACAATACTCTTTCCTGATTTTTCTAAATAAAAATCAACCCCATTTTTAAACTACAGTTTTACATCCGTGGTTTAAATTGAATTTGCATGAATAAACTATCAATATTCCTCCGTCTTTAAACTTCTTGTTGGAACAAATTCAATAATAAATTTGACAGGATCGGGAATTCATCCGTTTTCATTTTTCAAAAACTTAGGAACAGGAATATATGTCACTGATAATACACAAAATAATAGAAAATACTTATATTTAAATTTAATTTTAATGATTTCCAAAAAAATAAGTTCACGACGCCGCGCCCTTATCTCATCTTTCTATAGCTAGCTAAATGATAAAACTCTCCGCTCATAAACATATGTTAACTATAAGTCTATAGCTGGTTAAACGGCTGGAATAAATTATCTGATTTTTTAGGACACCCATGAATACCCTGGGGGTAACATAGACGAATTTTTGTTTTAATTCGAATAGTTTTTCGAAATTTTAATTTTTTTTTAACTTACGAGTTTTTATTCATTTCAAAGTGACTTTTAAACAATCTAGATTAGATCAGATTAGATTAGATTAGATCAGATTAGATTAGATTGTGAAGAAAATAAACAAAAAGACTTCTGGTGAATATACAAATACAAGGACGCAACATATTTTATGTTATTTAGTTTAAAAATAGGAAAAGAGTAAAATATTTGGGGCACCCCGGCAAAATACCGCCCCCCCCCCCTTATAAGCCGAGAAAAATTATATTTTTGAATTGTTTTTATGGAGTCCAATAAACAAAAAAAGTTTGATTGGATTTGTTCCGAATCTATAAAAATATTAAAGATAATTTAAATTGACCCTACTGTTTGTCAAGGTCGTTGTTTTAATAAAATGATTTATTTAAGTTTTCCTGAGGCCAAATTTAAAGAATTTAAGCTGTGGCTTAAATTTGAGACGCGGCTAAAATATGGTTGGTTCTACTTGAAATTGTATTCAATGTTTCAAGATTTAAGCCGGCGCTCAAATGAAACCGGTTTTAGGCGGATTTGAGACGCAGCTCAAATTCAATAAAGTCGGACTCTGGTTTTAATTTTGAATTTTACTTGAAATAAATCTCTATTTACTTACATTTAATTTTCAGTTGTGTTTGTGAAGAATCTTTGTTTGTTGATACTCGTAAACATCCTGTAGTTGCAAACAAATATAAACTCAAATTTTAAAAACAATGTTCGCTCATTACTCATAAATAGCGTTCAAAAAACATGAAAATATAGTTAAGACTTTGATCCATGCAGGTTTTTTTTCAAAATGAGGTTGCCATATAAATATTTAAATTTTTTAATGTTTTAAAAGTTCCAATAAAAAATATCTCAGCGCCAACATTAATTTTGTCTCTTAAAATCCATCTTTATTGAAAACCTGAAGCAGCCCAAGTAAAGGTTTATGGCCGGTTGAATTTTTTTTAAATGCCTTGACATAAAGCAGGAAAGGAAAATCTACGACATTTTTTTAGGTTTATTATGAAGATAAAAAAGAATTTGGCATAGTAAGCAGCATCGAAAATCTAAAGTTTCGTATATGTGGCGCGAAGCACCCTCAATAGACTAGTAGTTTGATATTTAAGTTTCCTGAATCACAGGGTTCAGCTTTCTTAATTGTTAAACTTCTGACGCATCCTGATACTTGGAGTTGTAAACGAGCCAACCTAGACAATATATTAGCATTTGAAAATACTCTAAATATTTCAAATATTTAAAATTTTACTTTTATATAAATTCTTTTTGTAAAATTCTACAGGTGTAAAAGTTTTGACACGTAAAGAGATGAATTGTATGTAAATTATTCCCCTTTATTCACATTTTATGATTTATAATTCCTGTATTTGTGTCTAGGTCTAACTCTGTTTTCTGTCCTATTTCTTATAATTGTGTCTAGTACTGTTTTCTGTCCTATTTTCTATAATTGTGTCTAGTACTGTATTCTGTCCTATTTTCTATAATTGTGTCTAGTTCTATATATTACATCCTATTTCCTATACTTGTGTCTATTACTGTATTCTGTCCTATTTTCTGTAATTGTGTCTAGTTCTATATTATATCCTATTTCTTATAATTGTGTCTAGTACTGTATTCTGTCCTATTTCCTATATTTGTGTCTAGTTCTATATTATATCCTATTTCCTATAATTCTGTCTTATACTGTTTTCTGTCCTATTTTCTATAATTGTGCCTAGTTCTGTTTTATGTCCATTACCTATAATTGTGTCTAGTTCTGTTTATGTCCATTTCCTATAATTGTGTCTTATACTGTTTTCTGTCCTATTTTCTATAATTGTGCCTAGTTCTGTTTTATGTCCATTTCCTATAATTGTGTCTAGTTCTGTTTATGTCCATTTCCTATAATTGTATCTAGTTCTGTTTTATGTCCATTTCCTGTAATTGTATCTAGTTCATTTCCTATAATTGTGTCTAGTTCTGTTTATGTCCATTTCCTATAATTGTGTCTAGTTCTGTTTTAAGTCCATTTCCTATAATTGTGTCTAGTTCTGTTTTTCGTCCTATTTCTTATAATTGTGTCAAGTTCTGTTTTTGTCCGATTTCCTATAATTGTGTCAAGTTCTGTTTTCTGTTTAACTTCCTATAATTGCTCTGTTTTTTGTCATATTTCCTATATTTGTGTCTAGTTCTGTTTTATGTATAATTTCCTATAATTGTTCTGTTTTTTGTCCTTTGTGACTAGTACTGTTTTATGTCACATTTCTTATATTTTTGTCTAGTTCTGTTTTATGTCCTATTTCCTATAATTGTGTATAATTCTGTTTTCTGTCTATTTCCTAGAATTGCGTCTTGTTCTGTATTATGTCCAATTCCTTAGAAATGTGTCTAGTTCTAATTTATTTCCTATTTCCTATATTTGTGTCTAGTTCTGTTTTCTGTCCTATTTCCTATGACTGTGTCTAGTTCAGATTTATTTCCTATTTCATATATTTGTGTCTAGTTATGTTTTCTGTCCTATTTCCTATAATTTTGTCTAGTTCTGTTTTCTGTCCTTTTCCTATAATTTTGTCAAGTTCTGTTATTTTGTCATAGTTTTAATAATTGTGTCTAGGTCTGTTTTCTGTCCTATTACCTATAATTGTGTCATCTTTCCTACTTCCTATAACTGTGTTTAGTTCTGTCTTCTGTCCTATTTCTGATAATTGTGTCTAGTTAGTTTTTTTTCACCTGCTTCTTTCTGGTTGTATCTTATTACCATTGAGAACCCAATCAACCTCTGCCTATTTAATTAAGATTATAAAGACGAGCGTATTTTTATCACACAAAAATTCACATTTTACATTTATATAATCGGAAAGGAAGACCAAACTAAATCTACAGTTAAACAGGGGAAAGTTTAAACTTTTAAAATTCTTTCATCTGTGTCTTTAGCGCTTAGACGGTTTCTTATTCCCTCGACAGTGAGACTAGACATCTCTTATGTCTGCATCACTGGACACTGCAGATTAAGGGAATCAAATTATCCAACTTAAAAATTTACACTGTGGATATCGAATTGCCGACGCTTCACCGCCACTGTTCCGCCAGTTTACTAAAGTGTCTCCCAATCAAAATTTTGGCCCTCTGATCTAACTAATTTACAGATAACCTTAGTTATTTGAAAACTAGTTAGTTGACAGTCAGACAGAATTTATCCTCTAAGATGTTCATCTTTTTACAAAAAAGAGATTAGTTTTTTTTGGGCTCTTGACTCTTGAGTAAATGGATAAAATTAAAGTTTATCAACCTGTTTATCTTGAGTTAATGGATATACTTAAAGTTTATCCACCTGTTTATCTTGAGTTAATGGATATAATTAAAGTTTATCCACCTGTTCATCTTGAGTTAATGTATATAATTAAAGTTTATCCACCTGTTTATCTTGAGTTAATGGATATAATTAAAGTTTATCCACCTATTTATCTTGAGTTAATGTATATAATTAAAGTTTTTCCACCTGTTCATCTTGAGTTAATGTATATAATTAAAGTTTATCCACCTGTTTTTCTTGAGTTAATGGATATAATTAAAGTTTTTCCACCTGTTCATCTTGAGTTCTAATCTCTAGATGAACCCTCTGTCCTTCCAGGACGGAAACTTCCTCAGGCAGTCTAGTGCTCAGCAAGTGTGGATATTCTACAAAAAGTATACTACACTCTACAGGCCGGACTACGTGCAATCCGAGCTAAGCTCCGGGTCCGTATGAGGACTGAAGTGGTTGCATCAATAGAACTATCCAACCTGAGCTTAGCTCCGGGTCTGTATTAGAACCAAAGAGAATAAATAGAATATATATTAGAGTGGAATTTAGACAATCCCTCGGAATGAATTTTGTCAGTCCTTTCAGCCTGAATGGGAGTTCAAAGTGTACAAATCATGTAATTGTTCACAAATTATATGCAGTAGGGTACATTAATACAGTATGTTCCCTAGACTATCCATTTCAATTTCGAATTTTTTAAAGCTGTTAAATAAACTTTATAAAATGAATTAGGTGAATAAAAAAAATCATTTAATTTATAGTTATAACGGAAAATCATCGTTTGTAAAGTGAAAGTCATTGGTCAATTATGAAACCAGCCTATTTCATAATTTGGTTTTCTTTTAATATTAATTTTAGATTTTCTATAAAATGATGTTCCATGGGTCCCAAAAGGTTAAATAGCGCAAATATGTTAAGTACACCTAAAGTATGGAAACAGTACAACAAAATGGCCGTTTTACATTTTTTTCTAGTAAATTCCCCTCTAATATATATTCTATTCTCTTTCATTAAAACTGAAGGGGTTATATCCTTATTTCGAGCTACTGAGCTACAATACTCATACAGTAAATTCTAGGGTGGGTCGATATTTCTCCCTTAAAGCTTAGAGTGTGTGCGGGACATGCGCCTAAATATTCTAAGAACTTCGCAAAAAAAAATAATCAAAAAAATATGGCGAGCCGAGAGCTATTTTGAGAAAAAAATAGATCATACACTAGTAAGGCACAGGGTGTTACAATAAACATGGAATTGAGAGACGACTTCAAAATTGTTTTTGATTTCCGATAACAGATAAATGATGATAAATAAAAGTATCATAAAGATTGAACGTCTAATGTGGTCTTTTTTCCTTGTATCTTTAAAATTACCGAAGATAAAAAACATTTTTACAGTTTTGTTTATTTTAAATAAACTGGAATCTGGACAAATTTCCTAATATCTCTGTAAATTTTGAAGGTGTAAAAAGGGTAGAACACAGTTTGAAGAGTTTCGGAGTTAAATGTTTTAACTGTAAATTGTGATATTACAAAATTATGTTAAAGAAATAATCCTGCTGGGAAGTCGTTCTTTAATTTCCATGTTTATAGCCGGGACACTCTGTAAATCAGATCAGAGTATAGCGAGTAAACCGGAGAGTAAATGCCAAGTTAAATGATCCCCTTCATATCATAGTGAGATTATTGTGAATTATAGCCTTCTACATATATTGTACATAATGCATACTATTTCAACTGACCTTGCACTTGTACCGTACATGAGCTTGAATCCTTGTTTGTCTTAACAGTGTACAATCCAGAATCTTCTGTTTTACAATTCTCAATACGAAGCTGATGCGTCCAATCTTTGCTTAACAGGAACAACCTGAGGGAACAAATAGTAGCTATAGACGAATCTAAACAACGTTTTTATCTGATAAGTATAAAACATGTATTTCCATTTTATTCATTGTACAATTTGTTACGTGTTTTATACTCTCGTTTTGAGTCGGATTTGACGTATGTATCTTATAACATTGAGTCATTTAAAAATACTTTTGATAATTTTTCTTATTCTTTAAAAGGTGAATTTTATGCGATCTAAACTATGACGGGATGTTATATTGGAAAAAATCATAAAATAACAACCCGCTAATTAAAGTTTTTAAGTACTCAGAGTTGTGTCGAGCAATTCTAAGAAAAGATTACAATTCGAATGAATAATAATTTTTAGAATTAGAATGCATCGTTAACACTTTCAGATTGTGTTTATAAACTTTTCCAATACCTTTGTTGTCTTTTTCTTTCAATCATTATTTCTTTATCATCCTTGAACCAAGAAACAGTTGCATTCTTTTCTTCTGTTATTACCTAAATGTTTTTAAATTTGAAAAGCAGAAAAAGTACAGCAATGTAAAGAAGTACAGCAATGTAAAGAAGTACAGCAATGTAAATAAGTACAGCAATGTAAAAAAGTACAGCAATGTAAAGAAGTACATCAATGTAGAAAAATAACAGCAATGTAAAGAAGTACAGCAATGTAAAAAAATACAACAATGTAAAGAAGTACAGCAATGTAAAGAATTACATCAATGTAGAAAAAGTACAGCAATGTAAAGAAGTACAGCAATTTAAAGAAGTACAGCAATGTAAAGAAGTACAGCAATGTAAATAAGTACAGCAATGTAAAGAATTACATCAATATAGAAAAAGTACAGCAATGTAAAGAAGTACAGCAATGTAAAGAAGTAAAGCAATGTAAAAAAGTAAAATAAGTGTAAAAAAATGTAAGTATAAGTAGATGCAGAACAATTTGGATGTGGGAAATGTAAAGAAATCTAGAAAAGTTTAAAGAAATGTAAAAAAATCCGTACAGAAGTAAAGAATACAAATTTGTCTGTCCTTGGAAAATTCTGCTATACATAAAGATACTGTTTTATTTAGTGTTAATTGTGGATCCGAAGAGAGATTAAACAAAATATAACTAAGCCGCTAAATTAAACAGAGTGAGTCTCGGTCACGATATTGGACCAACTGTGGCTCAGGTGCTAGATTGAACGCATTGCGGCTCGTGCACGTAATTGAACAGAATGTGGATCGAACGAACGCTTGATTGAACAGACTGTGACAATAACAATAGATTCAACAGATTAAGGCTCAAAAGCGACGTTGAATGCGGCTCGAACCCTAAATTAAACAGAATGTGGCTGAAACACAAGAATGAACGGAATGTGACTGGGACGCGAGATTTAACATTATGTGGCTGTATCCCTAGCTTGAACCTAATTTGACTGAAAAGCTAGATTGAACATAATGCGGCTTGGACGCGAAATTGAAAATAATGTGGCTCGGACGTGAGCTTAAAAAGAATGTGGCTCGGACGCGAGCTTGAAAAGAATTTGGCTCGGACGCGAGCTTGAAAAGAATTTGGCTCGGATGCGAGATTGAAATTAATGTGGCTCGGACACAAATAAAGAATATGTAAAGTTTGTTACCTGAAGAATGATATCTTCCATCTCTGTGGCATCAATACTCGATTCTAGTCTTTTAGAAAACTTGTGTGGAAACTCTGAAATTATATTCATTATTTTCGGAAACTTTAGAAATAATCATAATACATACATTTATACTTTAAACTACTATATTCTGAAACAAAACATAGCATTTTCATATAAAATTATACATGGAAAATGATTCATTATTATATTTTTTATGTGTGTAACTGTTCACTGTTGATAAAAGAAATATTTAATATTTACACAAACAAAGATACAATTAAAATACACAGTGAAGAGCTCTCAAAGATCTGTAGAATCTAAAATTTTGTGAATTCCTTTTACTAACCTTCAATATTTATTTTACAGGTCGTTAAATCTGCTCCTTCTTTTCCAAATTTCTTTATTCTAAAAATATAAATATTAAATTTCATTTTTTAGAAAATATATATTTACTGTGGTTGTCTGTCTCTGTCTGTCAATCAAAACGGCAAAGGATTGTGCCCAAATTTTGTGGGGCAACTCACACAATCCAAGAAGGATTTATGGTTGAAAAAAAGATAAAAATTGTCCCTGGTAGTTTAAAAAATTTACAAACTTGAAAAGAAAAATTCTCGAAAATTTTTGTTTGGAATTGAATACTATAAAAATGAGGAATTGAAGAGCAACAATTAAAGAACTGAAAGAAATGAATTAAACAGCAACAGTTAAATAAATAACTGAAAGAAATGAATTGAAGAGCAAAAGTTAAAGAACTGAAAAAAATGAGTTTGTGCCAGTAACGAATATTTTCTGATCTTTATGCCTTTCCAGCTTGATGATGGTGCAAACCTTTGATATTTCAAACTTATTTAGATTCTCTGATCTAACAGAATTCAAAGTTTGAAATATCTAAGGTCTACGGCAGTGGGTTGCAAAGATATACAAATTATAAAATCATAGTTTGTGGCAAAGACCCAGTTCCTTTGTTACTAGAAAAAAAGCCGAAAAGCCTTGTACATTATTTTATTGAAAACTTGAAGATCACATTGATGAGAGAATTGTTAATTAACCCAATATCTGTGTAAGTGTACTGCAGATTCTGGAAGGAATGTAAACAAATTGTTTATTTTCCTTCTTGAAACTGCAGTACAGTTTCTCACAAGGTATTGAGATTAAATCTTCATTGCGTTTTTAAATATTTATGTAATTCTAACTTTACCTGCAGGTGTAAACCCCGGCATCCTCTAGTCTTGGGTTAGTTATACACAGATCATGATCACCCTAGATAATACATAGATCATGATCAACCTAGATAATACAAAGATCTTGATCACCCAAGATAATACAAAGATCTTGATCACCCAAGATAATACATAGATAATGACCACCCTGATAATACATAGATCTTGATCACCCTAGATAATACATGGATCATGATCACCCTAGATAATACATAGATCATGATCACCCTAGATAATACATAGATCATGATCACCCTAGATAATACATAGATCATGGTCACCCTAGATAATACATAGATCATGATCACTCTAGATAATACAAAGATCATGATCACCCTAGATAATACATAGATCATGATCACCCTAAATAATACGTAGAGATCATGATCACCTTAGATAATACAAAAACAGCATTTTTATGATGGGGATTTTCATAATTTTGTAGATTACAATGCCTTCTGTCTGTAAAGTTACAAGATCGAATTTTCGAAATAAAAATTGTCGTTTTAATCACAAATCGATAAATAAAGATGCCTGGATTCTATCTAAGCTTAGTGCTGATCGTGTAACTATATGATGGAAAAATTGCCACCAGATCAAATGTCATGACACTTGAGCAGAAATATAAAACCAAAGGATTGTCTTTTTTAGTATTTCATTCATTTTTCATAGATAATAGTGGTTTACACAGAGTGTCTCACTAAACGTTATAATTTCTTTATAAAGATATAAAATTAAAAGGACTAAAATTTATCAAAACGTCCAACACGTTTGTCCAACACGTTTGTTTGGGAGTGTGTGAAAAAAGTTCTCGTTAACTCATTTGAGTTAAGCACATTTGTCCCCAGCCAGTAACTGGATTGGTGTCCAGACTGGTGTTCACGGGTTCGATTCCCATACTCCACACAAACCTGTGATTTCATAAAACGTCTGAAGCCGACATCTGGTTAGGCAGTTATGACCACCTGACGGGATGTTGGAGGACAGAGGGTGGGCTGTCAATAACTCTCGCAGCGAAAGGGTGCGTGCTTTCTACTCGTCAAGAAAGATTGTTGATTGAACCAAATGAATTATGATGAAGAGAGAAAAGGTGGACAAGCATGAGAGTCTATGGTTGCTAGCTATAGTTACTTGGAGGTATCCCATCTGGGTTCACAAATGATTGGGAGCAATGAGTGTGATGTTTCCTGTTTGTAAGGCACCTAGGCCTCATTCCTGTTTATCAGAAGAATTCCTGCACTCTACTATACTAAGGCTGAAAGCTTGTCAACCCTCTTCTCAGTATGAATGAAGCGTGGATGGAAGATTACAACCCCTGGTAGATCAATATAAGCCCATTCAACACCAGACTTTTGCAATAGAAAAATTCCGATATTTGATCGGAACAGCCCGATCATGTCCTGGGGACAAAAAATCTTTTAAAAAAATTAAATCGCTTACTAGTGATCCATGGTTTGCGGGACACACTGTAAACAACCTAAGGGGAATATGTAGTTATATTGCCACAGGAGAGTATAAAGAAATCTTTGATGGGATTTATAATAGATATTATAATATTTTCTTAGCTATGCAAAAGAAATGACGACAAAGAATTCCTTTGATAAATTTTAATATAAAAATATTTCTAAATGAAAAAATATATCAAAGTTCAAAATTTTAATAAAAACAGAAAATGTAGGTTGTTAAAAATGGGTACTAGTTTTTTAAAAGTATTTATAACGTATTAACAAAGGGATTAAAATGGGGGTTAGATCAGTTTTATCAATATGCATCTTAAAACCATTAATTTTTACGAAACGTTCCGGAAAACAAGTAGTTTTGAAATGAGCTGTTGGTAATTTAATATTATTTATAAAATGTTAATAATGAGCGCTGTACATCCCTGGTTATCAGGTTCAACGAGAAAATGTGCAAATGGTTAAAACTTGTCAACTTCCTTTGGAACCAAACAACCATTTAACCTGCAGACTAGACAAATACTTAGCATAGTCCGAACCAGTACAAAATCGATCTAAGGGTTCACGTGTAATTCTGATTCGACATAAAAGCAAACAGATGTTTCTACTTTATATATTATATAGAAATATCAACAACTCTTTGAAGATTTATAAAATATTGTTTCTACAAGTTGTTTCATGCTTTCGCAATCATCAGGATACTCATATATTTATATACTTATATTTATCTCATAAGTAAAACTGCAGATTATTTTTTACATTATAAATATATATATATATATATATATATATATATATATA